CCCCACGCACCCTCTTCCGGCTCCCATGACATCCATCGCTCAAACACTTGACGGGTACCGGGGATGTTGCCTAGTGTCTCCTCCATGTAGACATACTTATACCAGAGCTTGTCGATGCGGGGGAGAATAGTCACGGCACGGTCGAGGAGGTTTCGGGCGTGGTTAATATTCCGCGTCTTCATCTCAGCTTCGATGTAGCGAATCCAAAGCACCACGGAGGTCGGATCGACATCGAGCGCGCGCTCGAAGATGGATCGCGCCCGACGGAATTCCTTTTGTTCGAGCTCCCAGGCGGCATAGCGCATCCAGTTGTTCATGTTAATGCGGTTGCGCCGCACATAGTCTTCGAAGTCCTTTCTTTTCCGGCCTTGATACTCGTGTAATTCTTCAAGATCGGCAAAGCGCTGTGTCGGCGCCTCAAGGCCAGGCTCTTGCCGGTCAACGGCCTCGCGGAGCAGTTGCTCCGCAGAGACCTGAACCGGCGCGGCGGCCTTGTTCTTGACCCGGGGAGGTCCACGGGAGGCCTCCATTATGATGGTACTGTATTGACTGGTCCCGGTAAAGATGTGGTCCGCAACTCAAGAAGATATGAGGTGAAGTTCGGGAACGTCGAAATTGTCGGACAAGTGGTGAGGGTTGGGTAAAACGAGAGGGTTAAAAGATGAAACTGGCTTCACCAATCCACCGCGATCGCTTAAGTCGGAAATTGACAGGGAAAGTTCTCACGCCCAATCCAGTGACGCCGAGAGTAGTTTGGACCCGTAGCTCAGAGAACCCGCGCTGAAATCGCCGAACTGCGTGATTGGTCTTTATCGCCACCCCTGCACGTAGCTACCTTCTGACTAAGCACAACTTTTCTTCCCAGCCTGAAGACTTTGGGGATATTATTGCTCTTTTGCTATTTACCCAGTGGCGTTCTGGGACTCCGATCACACGCACCTCAACCTACCGGAGCGCACCCGTCGCAAAATAATTTAAGTCAAAATGTCGACCGCTGAAGAGCTTCTACGCGACTTTGAGGATGACGAGGAGGACTTCGAAGTGGGCGAAGATGAGAAAGTTGACGAAGAACCCGAGCAACAGGAGGAGTCCAAGGAAGGGACCGGGGTTACCAACGACTTCGACCGCTCTATTTCTACCGCTGATGAGCTTACACGCCTACACAAAGTCCTGCGCGACCATTACTCCATCCGATTCCCCGAGCTCGAAAGACTCGTCACCACCCCCATCAAATACGCCAAGACGGTTGCCATCATTCAAAATGGTCCCTTCAACGACATCAAGGCACTGTCCACATCATCGGAGAATATGGCCGGCGTCCCGCTTAAGTCGGTCTTGGACGGGCCGTCTCTGATGGCAATTGCGATGGAGGCAACTATTACTAAAGGTCGAGAGATGACTGAGTCCGAACTCAAGCTGGTTCTTGATACATGCGAGAGGATTTTGAAGCTGGATCATGAGCGCGCTGTTCTTACCGCAAGCATCCAGTCTCGCATGAACCAGATCGCCCCTAACCTGGCAGCTCTCATCGGGGCCGAAACGGCTGCACAGTTCCTCAACCAAACCGGTGGCTTGCTTGAACTAGCTAAGATTCCCTCCTGCAATTTGGGTGCACAAGGATCACGCCGGTCAGAGGGATTGGGCTTTGCGACCAACCACGGTGTTCGAGCGCAAGGTTTCCTCTACGACTCGCCACTTCTCCAAGAGGTTCCTCTGGACCTCCGGAAACAAGGAATTCGAATTGTTGCGGCTAAGATGGTACTTGCCACCCGCGCGGATGTTTCCAATTACGCCAAGGACGGCTCTCTGGGTGAAGAACTGAAACAACAATGCTACACGCGACTCGAGAAGCTGACCGAATCTGCACCAAACGCCGGTACAAAGGCTCTCCCCGCGCCCGATGACAAACCCTCCAGAAAGCGAGGTGGTTGGCGAGCCCGAAAGGCCAAGGAGGCTGTCGCTATGACGGAAATGCGCAAGGCACAGAATCGTCTTGCATTTGGCAAGGAGGAATCAGAGGTGGGCTACGGCGCGGGCTCTGGAACCGTTGGCTTGGGTATGTTGGGACAACAGGATGATGGTCGCATCCGTGCAACTCAGATCGACCAGCGCACCCGTGCCCGACTCAGCAAGAGCAACAAGGGCTGGGGCACAAACACCCCCGCTAGTGGCACCGCCTCGTCGTTGCGTGGCTTTGGCCAGGGCGGTGCAAGTGGCACTGCTAGCGTTCTTCAGGCACGAGGCATTCGTGCCTCTGGTGTTGGATCATCTCTCCCTGGCGCCGCTGGTACCTCCAGTACTATTGCATTCACACCCGTTCAAGGCCTAGAGCTAGTCGATCCGAAGGTGCAAGCGGAAATGAAGCGCAAGCGCGATGCTGAGGAAAATCGGTGGTTCAAGTCTGGCACTTTCACTCAAGCTCCTAACCAGAACCCCGGCAATTCCCAGGGCAATTCCCAGGGCGGTGAGAATGGTGGCTTCAAGGTGCCTGCTATCCCCCTCAAGAGGAAGGCTGACACAGGCGAGGGCAAGATGGGTCCTCCACCCAAGCGTTGAGAGTTATGTTGTTGTTGTTGTTGTTTTTTTTTTGTTTTGTTTTTCTCCAGTCTTTCCCAGTCTTGCTTTGCTTTTATCGGATCGAAGCATTTTCACGGCGTTTCATGGGGAAGATCAGGACGCCTGAGCTTCTATGATTTACGTGATACCAAACCGATTGTACATTAGATCTGACTACAGACCTCCAAATGACATTTTATTAACATATCTGGATACCACAGTAGTTAGTGATAGCTTCAACCAACCCTTAAGAAACCTCGGAAGAGATTGGGGTTTCTGGGGGTTGCCAAGAAATTGCACCATCCCAAGTCAGTTTAGGGCTCAACAGCACGTAGATGTTTCAGGATTAGGATTCTCTAAGAATAACTCAGAGCAGGATTCAATCCTTTAATCCTTTAAAACAACTTAGATTGGGGTTCCAGGAGTAGACTTAACAGGCAATAATAGGCCCAATCGACCCAACTACCTGAAAAGGAACAGTAACGGCCTAACTCCAAATCTCAAATTCGCCCACATTGCGTGCACTGTCTTGCCTAGCACACAATCATGGTGGAATGTGGTACAGTGTCCGTATAGCGGTCAGAGGATCCTATATCTATATAAACCGCCTGCAAATATCTTTTCGATATGGCGTATATCATATAAAATTATTTTGGCTATATAAAACTCAGATTCGCCCCCTTATTCGGATTTTTTGCCGAAATTATTTCTTCCGCTACTTGGCTTCAATTCCTTCCTCCTCTCAAATCTTGGATCTTTTCAGTCATAAACTAGATCCACAAAGACCTTGGAACATGACGTTTACTATAGACAACCCGTTGCCCAGCAATCCAATCTCAGCCACCAAAAGCCTCCCGGGCAAGGACAAAGACCAAAAGGTTCCAAGCTTGACTCGACTTGTGCATCATAGCCATGTCACTACAGAATTCGATTCCTTGAGATTTGAAGCTGCCGCCTCATTGCAACTGAAATTGCAGCTCGAGAAGCAATATCCAGACACAGAAATAGACACGCGACTCATTGCATCGCCCTACAACAGTGTCCCCCATCTACTGGACATTTCTGCGCTGGAGAGACAAGACCGACTCTTCGCATTGGCATTGGCATATCTCAAGCCTATCCGCGAAGACTATGCCACCGCCGAATACACCGAATCATTCAATTGGACAGAGGTGTATGATTTGTTGAGAACTTTCTCACGGGCAGAGAACCACACATGGAAATCGCAGTCGTATTACGTGGTCATCTTCCGGTCAATCCTGTTGCCGGATATAGATTCGGACCGTCTTCATGACCTTGATGCTCATTCGCACCAGGAGGCTATTGCTAGTGGGGGGTTGTTGAAGTATTGGTTTGGGGCGAAGAATGATATGCACCGGAATCTGGCGACTTGTGAGTATTCTATCTCCGGTTTTTTTCCCCCTCTTACTATGGCTAATCAATCAAACAGGCATTTGGCGCAATCGAAAGGATGCGAGACTTGGTGGTCGTGGACCTTGGCATGCTCAAGCAAGAGCGGCTGCTACAGTCATGTATGAGGAGATTAAGTTCACTACGCTGATATTGGATATTGAGGATGGAGTGCAGTCTTGGAAGCTGAGTGATTGGAAGGAAGATGCATAAAGAACATTGACACTGGCAAGATTAGATTATTGCATTTGACTGGAGTATACGGAGTAGGATGGCATGTTATTATGGGCTTGTACATCTATATCTCTTCGTGTATTGTGTTTTATATAGAGTGTTGTGACAATCACCCGATATGTTCACACTAAGATAGTACAGTACGTCTTTTTAAATGTTTTATATTACTTTACAAACTTCCAACGCTTGGCCACCTCTCAGACCAGTTTCATGTTGGATAAAATCAGATGATAATCCCTAGAAAGAATGAAAACTGCCAGTTCGCATGTAGGTTTATGTACTAAAAGTACAAAGTCCATCGCTTAAAGGGTTGAGCTTAATTTAGGAGTATTATCGTATATAACAATCGGATCTTACTCCCTTCTTAGACGGAAGAAGCCTTCTATCACAATACATATAATATAGGATTCACTTTATAGGCAATTCAGATTCAGTTCAGATTTAATTCAGATTCAATTCACTTTGGCATATATGATAGTATCCTAACAATAAGCAATAGTTACACACTGTTGCACTGAGAAGTTTGCTGCTTGGTCATTCTTCCATACCTCTCTTTACCCCTAGGTGGCTTTGTTTCTTTGTCCCCATTGAACTATGTTGCATATAAATGGCTTCAGGGTAGACTGCCCTCCCCTTTAGCAGTATAATTCTTGCTCCACACACTGTCTACGAAATATCTGTTGATATATATATGTTTATATGTTTATCACCAAAAAGGCATCCCAGACATTCTTCCTCTTTCCTCAGTCACTATTCTCCCTCTTCCACCCTCTCTTCTTTTGGCCCCTTTTGCCCAAGCCATGGTAACTATCGTCACGGGTAAGTGATGGAAACAGTTTCGATGGCCGCGGACTCACCCAGCTGAAGTCCTCCTCACTAGAGAATCACTCCCAGCAGAACGCCGCTGAGGAGCAATGCTACTTGATGGAGATTAAGCGTCTCATCAAGGAGTTCCACAACCCCATCGCTACAGTGATAGCCGAGCCTATCTAGTGCAAGGGTGGTGACAACCAGGCCTCGCCTATCTTCTTCTAGTGTCTTCGCACCAATGTCCTCCTTATCGCCGATGAGGCGCAGACTGGTATTGGTGTCACCGGTAAGCTCTGGGCCACGATAATTAAAACATATCCTCTCCTCGCCGAAAACACGTATATGCGTTCTCGCTCGCCTATCTGAGAAATACCCTCAGCGCTTTCAGAACCTCCCTGGTAAGAACAAAGGTACCTTCATACCCTTGGGACACACCCACTGACTAGTTCGTCACTAAGGGTCAAGTCCTTCGATGTCAACATCGGTGGCTCCTCCGACCGAGAAATCCAGCACATGCACCAAGGCCTAGGACTTGGATATACTTTGTTCATCCTCTTTGGTTCTCCCCGTTTCCGGCCTCCCTATAATTATATTTTATTTATCAATCACGAAGAGGAGAAATGACCTATATTTTGCCTCCGACCCCAGCCGTGTCCCAAACGAAGAGAGCGGCCTGGATGACCTTGAGCATTATCGGAAGACTTGCGCATATATAAGCGTCCAGCCCTCGTTTTCGATCACCAAGACATGTGCTTTCACTCTGCCTTCAGAGAAGACATTCGATTGCTGGGTGGACGCTGGCCTTATATAACCTGGAGGGCAATGAGAACAAACCGCTATATAGCATCACCGTCAGCCACCTGGAAGACGTGGTAATCAGGTGCGAAGATTGCCACTGTCTCTACGCGAAAAAGTTGGACTACGCTGGGTCCAACATTGCTCGATCGTTTCCAGGATAGCACCCTGATGCAAGATCGTATAACTTGTGGGAACTGTTACCAAGTCCGACGCGTACGCTCGCTCAAGAAAGTCAAGGGGAAAGACAAGACCGGCGAAAGTGCGGAGTTAGTCTTTGCCAACAAGCATAACTACCCACGAAGGCCCAAAGAGCTTACATGGCAAGAGTGGGCAGGCAAAGACGACTTGGGGGATGAACCGTATAGCCGAACCAAACTTCTCTTGGCCTACCTATTGCGAGTTCACGGGGTGGACTTTAGTAATAACAGGGTTATTTCCGACAAGATGGTGGAGAACGATTGGGAGCTGAACGATTGGGAGCTGAACGGTTGGGAGCTGAATGATTGGGAGCTAAATGATTGGGAGCTAAATGATTGGGAGCTAAATGATTGGGAGCTAGACGATTTGGAATTAGACGCAATGGACACGGACGATGAATGATATACACCTACGTACTATGCCCTTTTGGACACAACCCGGTGCCGACTATCTCTCTTCGAAAGTTGTTCATGTGGAGTGGTTGAATGTCGGCCATTGCAGAGACTCTACTAATACCTGGATTTGAAGGGAATGAGATTTGGAGGTCAAAAGAAATTGACCTCAAGATGATCAAAGGGGTATACATAGAAAAGTCTCTTACACAAAGTAACTATGCTGTTTTTACTGTTTTCGTATACACGTAAAAAGATATATATGTACCTCAAAAGATATTACAAGGCCGCATAAGCGGACGACTATTGTTTTAAAAAAAGATTTTTGAGAATATGCACAACAATGGGTTGAAAACTATCTATCTACACGACGTAGAGGCAATGAACAGCAGTCACATATTCCATGCCATCCCTGGTCTGAAAACAACCTCATCACCAATCCATTCCGACACAACATCCATCTTTAAATAAAATCATAAAATTCATGGAAGAGCTTTTTTTGGAACCCAAACCCTCCAACCTAATGCAAACATGAACTCCGTTGGAACAATAAACCATGCCGAACCCAATCCACCATTAAAAATTTAACAGGTGCTAGTGGAAGATCTGTAGACATGTGTTCCCAACCGGGGGCCGATGACTCTGGATATGATATACAAACCCAGAGCAAATCAGGGCAGGTTGCAAGGCGAATAACGATATAGGCATTTGTTGATAGATTGACGAACGGCAACAGGTCACAGAAGTAAATGAGCGTACTAGACCAAGGATAGCATGGGTGTGAAGCAGGTCACTACCGTTTACTCGGGGTCACTGTTGCCATTTAAATCGTCATCATCGCCATCGTCGTCCGAGAGACCGTCGTCGGCACCGGAAGAGGGCCCGGCGCGGTGACGGAATCCCTTGCCCTGAACCGCCGAGGCTCTGCATACGCCTGGGATCCCCATTAACCACATGATCTTCCAATCGCCACGGCGCCTGTTGCGCCGCTGCTCATAGTCGCGGCCATCATGTTTGTGACGGCGGCGACGATGCTCATTGTGGACGCCCTTTTCAGTTCTCTTCTTCCAAGAAGTACTGTTGAATATAGTTAGCACAGCATTTATAAATGGAATTGACAGCATCCATGGATGAAGTAGAAAACTTACGAAGTTGCCTGCCAGCTTCTGCTCCTGGTCCATTTGACTGTTGTACTTGTTGATACGGGGGCGGAAGCTGTTGGGGTCACGACGGAAGGTAACATCCAGGCTCTTCAAGAACCGGTTGCAACCACCGACCAGAGACTCGGGCGTCTGAGCACGAGCATCCACAGATGGCTGGCCGTCGAAGACAATGACACGATCAGCCAGGTAGGTGGCCATGATGAAATCGTGCTCGACGATGAAAGCGGTCTTCTTGGTGTGCATAATGAAACGCTTGATGACACGAGCAGCAACAATACGCTGCTCGGAGTCCAGGTAGGCACTGGGCTCGTCAATCAGGTAGATATCAGCGGGCATACCCAGAGCCAAGACAATGGCGACACGCTGCAATTCACCACCGGACAGGTTCTGAACCTCCTGGTCGATAAAGTCATCCATCTTCAAGGGCTTGTAGACATCGGTCTGGAACTGAGGAGACAGGAAGGCAGTCTTGATACGCTTGAAGAAGAGTTGGCGGACGGTACCCGTGAACTTGGGGGTGATCTTCTGGGGCTTCATGCTGATGTTCATCTTGGGGACAGAGATGAGGCCGTCGGGCTTCAATGCACCAGCAAGCATCTTACAAAAAGTGGTCTTTCCTGTACCGTTCTCACCCATCATGACGACAATTTCGGAGTCGGTGAACTTTCCGGCATCAACCTTCAGGTGGAAGTCACCCAGAGTCTTCTCCATCGCGGGATAGGCGAAGGCACGATCCTTGTCCGCAATGAACTCCTCGCCGGCTTCGGCAAGACGGAAGGTGAGAGATTCCTCACGGAATCGCAGGTTCTCGGTAGGGATGTGACCGTCCAAGAAGATGTTGATACCCTCACGGACGGAAGAAGGCAGAGTGACGACACCGTAGACAGCAGGACGACCATACAACACGCAAATGAAGTCGGACAAGTAATCGAGGACGGACAAATCGTGCTCGACAACGATGACATAGTCATCGGGGCGGAGGAGGCTGCGGATCGTACGGGCAGCAGCCAGACGCTGCTTGACATCGAGATATGAGGAAGGCTCGTCGAACATGTACCTAGATCAATCAGTATTAGTAACGGACAGGACTCCATGGCATGCATATAAGGAAGAACATACACGTCGGCCTTCTGAACACAAACCAGACCAATGGCAAAACGCTGAAGCTCACCACCGGAAAGGTGACCGATATCACGGTGCGCAACTTGTCTCAACTCTGAACGAATATTAGCAGCTGAATTCTGAAATATTGGAGTAAGGAAACGCACCGAGAACGTCCATGATATCCTCCTCGTTACCCAGCGCAGCGCGCGCCGAGATGAGCTGTTGAACCTGCTGGATAGGTCCCTTCACAGCACGGGGAATCTGATCGACATATTGAGGCTTCACAACCGCCTTCAGGTTGTCTTCCAGAATCTTGGTGAAGTAGTCTACCACAGTTAGCAAAGTTGAATAGACAACGGTGTACTCGGGGTATGCTGCTTACTCTGCAAATCGGAACCACGGAAGTACTTCAGGATCTCCTCCCAGTCAGGAGGGTTCTCATAACGACCGAGGTTAGGCTTCAGCTTGCCACTGAGAATCTTCAGGGCGGTACTCTTTCCGATACCGTTTGTTCCAACCAGACCGAGAACCTGACCGGGACGGGGCATGGGAAGTCGGTGAAGCTTGAAGCTGTTGGCCGAGTAGCGGTGGGTGACTTGGGTTTCGAGGTTGGTGGGCAAGTTGATGATGTGAATGGCTCCGAATGGGCACTTCTTGGGACAGATACCACAACCAATGCACAGGCGCTCGGAGATGAAGGCGATCTTCGAAGTGGGATCGACTTCAATGCAAAGCTTGCCAGTGCGGACCACAGGGCAAGACTTCTTGCACTCTTGACGACATTTCTGCAACTAATTAGCCTCCACGAAGACCGTCAAATATCATATCGAATCGCGTACCTTCGGTTTGCACTGTAAAGTTGGAAAGGTGTGGTGTGAGCCAGGCATTCATGAACCGGGGAGAAAATCCTATTAGTGGGGGTATTTCGCGACGAACCTTGTCACTGTTGATGATCGCAATACTATAGAGAGAAATATATCGTTAACTAGTGATATGACACTTCAAAGACGCTAGAAACATACCGAGTAAGCTTGTCAGACATGGTGGGCGGTTGTGGTTCAAAGAAACCTTGTGTATGAAGCGGAGTGAAAAAGAAAAAAGAAACAGCACCAAGTGGAGGAGGGGTGGCGAGTTGGAATTGGCAGAATAAGCGCTGTCGCAGGTAAATGAACCGGGCTCAGCAAAAGCACCAAGTATCTCTGCGCAGACTCGATTAGAAATAAGACAGGAAGAAACCCTAGTTACTATCAACGAACGAGGGGCGGCAGAATTGAATGCACTTTGCTTTCTGTGGGCTGTGATGCCTCAGGCCGCATATGCGTCACTTATTTATCAAGGCGGTGATTGGCTGTTGGGCTCGAATCGGATTGGTGGTTTATCCGAGATCCGCAAGCCACGTGATGAGACACCGTGTCAGGCGCCAAGCGAACAATGCTAATCCCAATAGGGTCAAGCTCTATTCATGCCTGATAGATCGGGTGTCTACTTTCCCTGCAAACCAAACCGAAGCAAACCCTCCAGTCAGTCCCCATCTCTTAGTTCTTCCAAGTCTCTCGTCTCCTCTTCCCCCAAGATTCCAAGCTCACGCCTCCCTCCCACCATTTACTTTCCCACATTGATCGACAGATCCCCCGCTTTCGGGGTCACCACGCTATGGAGTGTAAGTGATTTAATCTTTTCCTCAAGCACAGACGTGCCGACCGAAGCCTTCGCCGCGGTACTTCTCCGCGCCTGTCGACCCACTGCACGAATCCTTGAATCCCTCTATTCTGTTCCGATCGGGATAGTTTTCAACTGTCATCGATCAAGCAGCGTGTCATTGCATTCGCCGAGTCTGGTTGTGTGTACCATTCTGTCCATTGCTTTGGCTTCCAGCCTGGCCGCGTCCATCCCACCCGTTATCAAAAAACATACTCTTTCATCAAAGTCAATATCCTGTTCCATTCTGCTAGATTTTAGGCTCTGTTTGACCGCGATTTGGGTCGCGGGCCATCGTTTTACCCGTCCCTGTCTCTTTCATGCCTCTCCTAGCCTAAATCGAGCTTCAATGCTGACTGCCCCTCGGTAATAGCCTCTGGCATGGTGATCCCATCTGCTCAAGAACATCCTTCTACCTCGACGATGTCTAACGGCTACCCTATTTCGCCCGTCGCCGACGATACCCACGCGGATGGCGATGCGGTAGCCCAACGTGAACGCAGTCCGTCCGAACCCATGGAGTCCCACGCCGTCTCCGAGTCCTCCCCCGAACCCGATGCCGCGGACGACTCATATGACGGCGCGTCTGCTGATTCAGACGCGGAAGATGAGGAGGTAGCAGAGGACAACAGCGATTATGACGCCAACACATACAGCCGTGAAAACTCTTCATCCCCTCACCCCGACCGCGGTGCGAAGCGCAAATCGTCACCGGTTAGTGAAACCGACCTGATTAGACAAAATCCCGATCTGTATGGACTTCGACGAAGTGGTCGTGCTCGTACGACGCGCCATCTCGCCGACTCGTCTGATTCAGACTCAGATGATGTTGCACCACGCACCAAGCGTCGGCGCAAAGATGCATCCCAACAACCATCTAAGGCCTCCCGATCGGCTACTGTGTCGTCACTATCCGAGTCGGACAGTGATGAGTATGGTGGAAAGAGTGCTCGTGCTAGCAAAGCTAGAAGGCGACGTCTCCAACAAACAGCTAGCTATGAACCTTCAATGAGTGAGGTTCGCTTCTCAACGCGGACTGCGAAGAAGGTGTCGAATTACAACGAGGATGATGAGGAAGATGAAGCCATGTTTGAAGAAGACCCAGAAGATCTTCCACCAAACTACTGGGCAGAGAGTTACGTGGAGGACACTCGCCCTGCCGTCGATGTCGTCCTGAATCACCGCCTCAAGGAGGGCATCGACCCAAAATCTCATGATCTCGACCGCAATGACTTTGAGTTTTGTATCAAGTGGCAAGATAAATCACACTATCATGCCACATGGGAAAGCAATGAATCCATATCCAACTTCCGCAGCACGCGGCGCGTGGATAATTATGTTCGCAAGGTGCTCAATGAGGATATTCGGTTGCAGTATAGTGTCGACGCTCCCCCTGAAGACCGCGAAAAGTGGAATCTCGATCGCGAACGAGACGTCGAGGCCATAGAGGACTACAAAAATGTTGAACGAGTCATCGGTGTACGTGATGGTGATGATGGCACCACGGAATACCTTGTCAAATGGAAACGTCTCTTCTACGATTCCTGTACTTGGGAACCCGAAGACCTGGTTAGTGAGATCGCACAGCGTGAGATCGACCGGTTTTTGGACCGCACTGCTCGCCAACCCATCTCCGACAAGAACGAGATTAATGTTGCCACACGTAAATCCTTCGAACCCATCCACGGCACCCCTAATTTCTTGCAGAATGGAGAACTTAAGGACTTCCAAGTCAAAGGTCTAAACTTCTTGGCTTTCAACTGGGTCCGAGGTCGCAATGTGGTTTTGGCAGATGAGATGGGTCTCGGAAAGACGGTACAAACCGTTTCATTCATCAACTGGATGCGCCATGTCAGGCGGCAGCAAGGGCCATTCATTGTCATCGTTCCCCTGTCTACTATGCCAGCATGGGCTGATACCTTCGATCACTGGACGCCAGACCTGAACTACGTTGTTTACAACGGTAGTGAGAAGGCGCGCTCCGTTCTACGGGATTATGAATTGATGGTCGATGGCAATCCCAAACGTCCAAAGTTCCACGTTCTGTTGACAACTTACGAGTACGCAATGAACGATTCACCGTTCCTCGGCCAATTCAAGTGGCAATTCATGGCAGTGGATGAGGCACACCGTCTCAAGAATCGCGACTCGCAACTTTATATGAAATTGTTCGAATGGAAATGCCAGGCACGCCTCTTGATCACCGGTACTCCAATCCAAAACAACCTTGCTGAGCTTTCAGCACTAATGGATTTCCTCAATCCGGGCCTCATTGAAGTCGACGTCGACATGGATTTGAATGCCGAGGCAGCATCTCAAAAACTTGCGGAATTAACAAACTCTATTCAGCCCTACATGTTGCGGCGTACCAAGTCCAAGGTTGAGTCGGATCTTCCCCCGAAGACTGAGAAGATTATTCGGGTGGAGCTCTCCGATGTCCAATTGGAATACTACAAGAACATCTTGACGAAAAACTACGCTGCGCTGAACGACGGGAACAGGGGAATGAAGCAGTCCCTTCTGAACATCATGATGGAATTGAAAAAGGCTAGCAACCACCCATTCATGTTCCCTAACGCAGAAGCAAAGATTCTGCAAGGCAGCAGTCGTCGAGAAGATATCCTTCGTGCCATGATCACCAGCAGTGGAAAGATGATGCTTCTGGATCAACTCCTTCGTAAGTTGAGCGTTGATGGCCATCGAGTTTTGATCTTCTGTCAGATGGTTGGTATGCTTAACATCCTGAGTGAGTATATGGAATACCGTGGTTACAAATATCAACGGCTTGATGGAACTATCCCGTCTGCCGCCCGTCGCTTGGCAATTGAGCATTACAACGCTCCTGGTAGCACCGACTTTGCATTCCTTCTCTCAACCCGCGCAGGTGGTCTCGGTATCAACCTTATGACTGCAGACACTGTCGTTCTGTTTGATTCGGATTGGAACCCCCAGGCTGATTTGCAGGCTATGGCGCGTGCTCATCGAATCGGTCAAACAAGACCCGTAAGCGTTTACCGTCTTGTCTCAAAGGACACGATCGAGGAAGAAGTCATTGAACGAGCTCGCAACAAACTCTTGCTCGAGTTCATCACCATCCAGCGTGGTGTCACAGACAAAGAAGCCTCAGAGATGCAAAACAAGATGGCTCGCGTGGTTGCCGAGCCTAATTCCACAGACGATATCTCTCGGATCCTCAAGCGCCGCGGTCAGAAGATGTTCGAGCAAACCGACAACCAGAAGAAACTAGAGCAGCTTGATATCGATTCCGTCCTTGCAAACGCAGAATTACACCAAACCGAAGAGGCCGAGCAAATCCAAGCCGACGGTGGTGAGGAATTTTTGAAAGCATTCGACTTCGTCGACATCAAAGTTGACGATCTCACTTGGGACGATATCATTCCCAAGGAACAGCTTGAAGTGCTCAAGGCCGAGGAAAAGCGCAAAGATGATGACCATTATCTTGCTGAAGTGATTGAGCAAAATCGACCCCGCAAGCGTCACGCCCCCACGGACACGACAGATTCACGAGAGGAACGCAAGGCGAAACGCCTCGCAAGGGCTCAAGTCAACATCGATGATGGCGAGGAAGAGAGTGCCTCGTTGGATCCCAAACGCCCTCTGGGAGAAAAAGAATATCGTGCGCTTTCTCGAGCATTCCTTCGCTACGGCGATCTGGATGACTCTGAAGATCTCATCCTCGAGGATGCCCGATTACAAACTCGCGATCGGGGCACCGTTCGTGACGCTCTTCATGAAATCACCGACAAGGCAAACTCGCTTGTCCAGGAAAGTCTGGATCAATTAGAGGCCATGAAACAATCAGGTAGGAACCCGACGAAGAAAGAGCAGAAGGCCGTTTTGTTCGACCACCATGGCGTCAAGCGACTGAACGCATGGACTATCGTGGAGCGTCCACCGGATATGCGCCTTATCCGCGGTATCATTAAATCATTGCCTGATTTCAGAACATTCCGGCTCCCTGAAGCTACCAAATTGGCGGACTACAGCTGCCAGTGGGGTGCACGTGAAGACGGAATGCTTCTTGTGGGTATCGCGCGCCATGGGTTCGGTGCGTGGACCCAGATTCGCGATGACACTGAGCTTGGCCTCGGTGATAAATTCTTCCTTGAGGAACACCGAGTGGAGCGAAAGACACAACGCCTGCAGACCGAGGAGAAGGCAACAAAATCCCCGGGCGCTGTCCACCTTGTTCGACGAGCTGAATACCTCATGTCTGTTTTGAGAAACAAGTTCAATAACAATGCTACAGCCAGAAGGGCAGTCGACAACCACCACCGCAACAATAAGCGTGGCTCACGGGTTTCCGGTAGTGGTAGTGTCTCTGCCTCTCCGGCTCCTTCCAGTTCTCGCAGGCCTGAGAATCCCCGCAAGGGCCACCGTGAATCTGATCGATCACGCCCCCGCCCTCACACGCATGCCAGCCGGGAGGGAGACCGTCATAGTACTCCTAGCCATGACTCTCGTCCCCGGTCTGGTCTTGATATTGATCGCCCACGCCACCGTCTATCTGACGCCTCAAATGACGAGCTTCGTCGCCGCAAAGGTCATGAGAACGGCGGTTCTAATAAAGAAGACATGGCGTTCATGTTCTTCAAGCCTATTGTTGCCAATTTGAAGCAAGTGTCAATGATCACTGCCAAAAATTACCCGAGCAAGAATGAGCGGGCCCAAAAACTCCGTCTTACCCTTGTGAAGATTGGAGAATTCATTCGCAGTACTCTGGAGGGCTCGCAATCGATGCCCTCCTTGGAGGTCCGACTATGGTAAGTTGTCTTCTTGTCACATTTATCTAACACATTCTGATTTGCCTTTCAGGGATTACGTTTCACTCAACTACTGGCCGAACAAAGACGCCAGTGGTGCTAAGCTGCAGCAGATGTTCAATAAGGTCATGGAAGCCAGTAAAGCTTCCAAGGCCTCTAATGGCAGCTCGGCTTGAGTTCCCTATCTCATGGGCACAATGGGTACAGGTGTTCTTTGTTTCAGTCCAACTTCACTTTAGCACGGTTTGATGACATGCACGTTCAGCGTTTCTGATATCAGATATCTACCTATCCTTTTTCTTTTTATGTTCTTTTTGATGATAGACACTCAGCGTATTTCTTTTGCAATCTCTGCTCCCTCTCCCTCTACAATGTTCTCACTTCCAATGTTGGACTACGTTATTCCGGTATTTTTGCATTGGACTCGAGGTTTTGCAGTCGTTGTTATTGTCATCTTCCGACTTCTCGCACAATTCCTTGAGCTGTCCTCATCAAGGTGACCTCCATTTCTCTCTTTTGCTCTCTGTTCGTTGAAGGTACATATGGATGCAACTTGTTGCATGGCATTGCGAATGGCGTCGACTTCTTTGTGTGAGCCCCAAAAGCACAGAAGGAAGAATTTTCAAAACGAACATAACCCTACGGTCTTGGATGATCACTGCATGGCGTGTTTGGGGGTTTCTTTTCTTTTTCTTTTCAATTTTTTTTTTTTTTTTTTTTTCAATGGGGGAGTTTTGGACTGGCTCTCCATGGTCTTTTTTTACCTGGATTGAGCCAATCATACCATATCCCCTTTGCTTTAGTTTGCTTTTTTTTTCCTTGTATGTCGTGAGCATACGAGGACTCTTCCTATGGAGGCATCCGTAATCAAGGGCAGTTAGTTTTCTTTCTCACCACGTGTATATCTTATGGAGTGGCTGCCATGGCGTCGACTGGTTTCCTTAATCTTTCTGATCATTCAGTGGGAGTTTGTACATTCCTCGCTTTTTATTTTCGGTTAGTACCAACGTAAGACAAGGGCCTTTTCCCTTTAGTATGAATTATCCATTCAAGAAGGTCTTTGTCCTAGTTTATAGCTCAAATAAACAAACACCCATTCCAATATACAAGTACAACCCTATAAGACTAACAATCCCGCAAGCCGATCTATTTGGCCTAGACCATATCAGAGACGTTATAACTGCAAAAAAAAAAAAAAAAAAAACATTGGAGTGTTCTTAGACAAACCCCCGTGTTTGTGCATTCGTCCAGGTTGCGGAGAGTCACTAGTTGTATTGGAACGTGTTTACTATGTTCAATGTGAATTGATCACATATAATCGAAAAGCTTCAATATTTCGGATCCGAGGCATTGTACTCCCAGTTTTTATCGTAAATCTCCATGTTTCTCAATTCTACCCCAGAAATATTAGGCCGTTCGAAAGAAGGCTCAAATGCATCTCTTTGGATTCCAATTCCCCATGGAATGTCCAACGGCGTGCGTTCAAAGAATGGATTTTGTCCCTCTCCGTAGAGATATTCTTGCACCTCCTTTTCAAGCCAAACCATACGGCCAATCTGTGGATTCGGCAGCTTCAGCCCAATCAAAACAGCCGGTTGCGAGCGCGCATCTCTGTCTGCCCATAGTGTATTTCCACGTATCTTTGTGCGCATCTCTTGAAGCAAACCATGCCAATCTCCACCTTCATCAAGGAACTTCAGCATGCTCAGCTTGATAAACCGGATGGATTTTGGTAATGCACAAAGAAACGATATGACATCGGGCTGTGTCACTAGGAAGCGTGATAGTTCAAAACAGCATAGTTTAGGCCATTTATCTACTGGAATAAAGCTCTGTAAAGGAATGAGACGTTCGGGTGATCCAGCGCTATATTCGTCATCGTAGGGATTGTTAATGACTGTAGTATGCAAGCTGAAATCTTCCATGTCCTTTGCCTCATCCAATGTACTGCGAAGTCGTCCGTTCAAAAATGATCGCCAGCACGCATCGAGTTGATCATCACTTTCTCCGCCTATTAGAAAGGTGATAGCTAGATGACGGAAGCCCGGGTTTTTCAGTACTATCGCAAAGTTGTCGTACTCCTCGCAGGGTTGATCAAAGATCGTACAATTGAGTCCAGTCGGCAGATGATTGGAAGACATAACCAGCTCGGAAACTGAGTTCGGTTCATTTGCCAGTACGCGTAGTACAGAAATAACGCCGCGGTACCTTTCTCTGAGTTCGGGATATTCTTTCCAATGGTATGCGATGGGTGGTTCGACTGGGCCATTCAACCATCCCCGTGGAATAGGGTAATTGAACCCCTTTGGAAAAGCGCGAATCATAGGCGTAGAATAGAGCGGAGTAAAGAGATGGCCGTGGGCTGAAGGCGTGATAGTGACTCTCTTAAGAGCAGGGAACTGTTTGACGCCGTATAAGAGGGCGTGTACGTCACTATTATTGGCCAGCACATCCTTTTGTTGGTCTAGCAAGTGCCGGTAATACTTCCAGCGCTCGCTTAGCGCAGGTTGTGCGAAAACTTGCTCTCGACGCTCGATATGATCGGGACGGTCTACGTCTCGACCCCTACGCTGTGTCAGGAGGGCGAGGTTTGCCTCGCATGCATGTTTGAACCACTTTGGACATCCGTCCTCGAATTCGTGTCGTTCAAGAATCCGCTCCTGGGGGTACGAGCCGTATCTCTGGGCCCACTCTCTAGTGTTTCCAGGTTCGTCTTCGTCCGAGAAATTCTCATTTCCCTCGGCTGATTCGTTGAATCCGTGGGGGCCCCTGGCAAAGCGGGCTTCATCCCATACTATCTCAGTCACACCGTGACGGAATTTGTCGTGGCCTGCTATACAGCGAAAGACTTGGACATTTAGTGGGTTGGCGGATAAGAAAACGCGGTCGATGCGGAGAATCGACGCATTCCTAAATTGTACACATGAGAGGCGGAGATTCTTGATGTCGGAGTTAGATAGATACGATGATATGCATCCCCATAGCTCGAAAGGGAGGACAGGGAGAGTGGCATAAGCCATGAGATACCTAGGTAGAGACGAAGTGATAAAAATGAGGTTGTCCACAGAAGTAAGCCACTCCCGCCCCGGGGGCCGTTCCTCCAGGGTCGATCCCAGTCCTCGGGCCTCACTTTTCATTTCTTTGGCTTCATACTTGGTAGTTCACGCTTGCACATTTTGATTCTGCGAAGATGGTTACACACAAAATGCTCCTGTGATCGCTCGACACCAAGTTCGATCGGCTTCCTGGTCGTTGTCGATGATGGTTCGTCATACAGGTTGCTAGTGACTACAAACCCGGAAACATTGAACAATATACAACAATATACATGCAACATGGTAATTTCCAATCAATTCTGGTACGGGTCGTAACAATGCATCCACGGCTATTCATGAATAAAGTCACCCTACTCACTCGAGTAGTACTCATCCTCATCGTCATCGGCCCGATTTCCCGCAGCCCCGTTCATAACGAACGTATACTCATGGCCCACCTCCTCCACGAGGGCCAAGAGCATATTTTGCGGGGGATATCTTCGCGCAATCCCCCAGAATGGTTTTCCCTTTTCTGCATGTAGAATTGCAGCGGCTTGGCTTGACTTGCCGCGGGAGGAAAGTTCTCCTGGTCTCTTCTTCCCAAAGATCGCATCCATTGTGTCTTGGCCGTTCATGTAGGGAAATAGATGGGATGCTTGAATAACGTCCTCATCTAGATAATCCCCAATAATAGGATCCCATAGCCATGGTTCAGTAGATGTTTAGCCCCGTAGACTTCGATCATAGTGTGACGGAAATTAGCTTGTTGACTTGTGTCTCGACTCCCTGCGCCCGTGCCTTTAATGGCCATTCCCATAGTGGAGGTGGTGAAGAGTCTCATAAAGGAGGCCCTTAGACTCCAGATATCCCACAGAGCAATCACGAAGCTTCATACTTCCTGAAGAACGCCCAGGGCTACCTTGTTCGAGGCTGTGACATTTTGTCTTGGTGACTCTTGGGAATAGCAATGGGTGCAGGGGACTTGGATAAGAAGAGATTGGAGATAAGCTTCGACAATCTGGAGCGTTTATTCTCTTGAGAGAACTGGCTAGTGTGAGAGGAGGAGGAGGAGGTTGAGGTAGCTGGGTGTCTTCACAGATTCTCCTGGTCTGTTCTTAGGCTTGGACATTTTTTCAGATTCAATTCAAATTCAAATTAGTTCAATTCAGATTCATTTTAGATTTAGTTTAGATTCAACTTAGATTCAATTCACTTTAGAAGTCCCTATGGCTAACTATATAAAGACGGCTATGAGAATGATGCACGATGGAAGACATTCATCCAGGAACTTGACGCCGCAGCCACCGAAGCAGAAGCGGAAACGGATAAGAGAATATGGTGGAATCCAGGTCTTATCTTTTTCGGCCTTGTCCAGGGCATTTGTCAGAGCTTGCTTCTCGTCAAACGGAACCGAATGATCCCAGATAAGCTCGACTTTGATTGCGTGAGAGAACTCTGGTTCCTGCATGGGACTGTCCATCATCTCTTGGTCAATTGCTTCTGTCTGCTGCATCCAAGCTGGTAGATTCCGGTTTTCCACAATTGGTGCATTGCGGATACACGCCGCTGTTGCAAAGCGGGCCTCCCAGGCCGAGACTTTGACTGTATTGAAATACTTCAGTATTTCCCAGGCTCGACCAAACGGCTCCATGGGCCCTTCGCCCGGCAAAGGGCCTATCACAGGGACAGGGTATTCCAGGGGATCATCCCTAGGGAACTTGATTTTGGCCACTTCTTCAATCTCATCCCACTGCAGGGAGCTCATGTCTCGGTTTGTTTCGTCAGAGAAGGAGGCATAGTCTTCAAGGCTGAGTTTCAGGTGTACGGATCCGATGATAGCCAAGCTGCCATACGTAGCAGAGAACTAACGGCTTGTTCTACTCCGTATAGGACGACAGCAGCCACTGGTTATGCATCCCACGCAGTCTACGAAAAGAGATATTCCAGCTAGTGCACAACGACCAAGGCCACCAAGGATTCGAATGCTGCAGAGCGAAGATAGCAGGTCTAGTAATATACCGTGGGATGCACAAGCTCAATCGTACATCAAGCATTGCCCTGAATGCATTCGCAACAACACAAGGTTGGAGGAGGCATCGACCGTACGGGACGCTGCAACCGATCATTTCGCCACCAATACCCTATCATACAGTTTGCACCGACTTCATCACCGGCTTACCAGCTTCCAAAGAAATATTCGACGCAGTACCCTTTATAACTTACAAATTCAGAAGGCGTTTAGGCGACATCGCCGGCAAAGTAGCCTGGACAAGCAAGAAATGGGCTCTCGGAGTCGCAGCACTAGCCTTCCTACAGTGTGCTGACTGGGGCATCCCAACAGTATGGATCAGTGATCGTGATCCGAAGTTCACGAAAGGATTCTGCAAAGCACTGTTCACCGCAAAGCGAATCTCGCTCCGATCTTCCGCAGTAGCCCTTCTTGCACCACCGCTGTTATCAGCTCCCCCACTTATTCCATTGTTGCTAACGCCGAAGTCTCTATTACCAAGCAAAAGCATGGAGGATGGAGGGAATGTGTTTACCCTGGTTTTTTTCCTTTTCCTTTATTGCTTGCAGTTATGCACGTGCTCCCTGCTGGCTGCAACCAATGAACAACATAACTATCACGTTTTAATACTGTAAAATAGCCGATATCGAGAGGTTGTAAATGGTAGGAAGAATACGCCTGCTATCTTAACTAGTGAACAAGGGGCCAGTCCTTAGACTTATGTAATAATCAGGTCATGCCTACCTAGGTAGTAAGCAAATTAGAGTGGAAGGTAAGGTTAAGTTCGATGATTATATACTCAGACTCAGCACTAGAGTGATCTCTAAAAAGGAAAGGGAAAGCAATGTCGTCGTGCGGCCTAAAATCCGGTGTATATGTAGGGATCTGGCTGGCTTATGGCAGGATCGGGGGCCAGGTTGATAAAAAGGAAATGAAGATGCCCTATAGGAAAATAGAAGTCCCTAACGACTGTCACATGGACTCCTGTCTAGTTTTGCACTATAATGCCCATATAAGAAGAAAATCATGATTATTGACAATATATTTGTAGTGACCACCCATAGTGGTGAACTAACTGTCATTGAGCGAGACCTGCAAGCCATACCAAAAAAAAAAAAAGGTAATAAAGAAACAAAAAAGATTATTCATATATTCCGTTGCAAGATACCTCTCTTCTGCCTGGGGTTGGAAATACAAATAAATACGCAACTCACCAACACCATGCACGCCGGGATATGAGGGGACAACAAATGAAACAGTAACTGCAAAGTGACATAGAGCAGAGGGCAGGCTAACCAAGCATGGCCTCTAAAGGTTGAGGAGAAAAGGAGGAGCAAAGTAGGGGAAGGATAAATAGGAGAGAAAAATAAATACGGCAGCTAAGTGCTGCCCTCGATGGTCAGCACCTCTGCTGACTTCACCAACTGGTCCTGTTGAGTTTGGAACTGCTGCTGCTGCAGTTGCAGCTTTTCAAGACTCGTCGTCAGGTGTGCGGGTGGTACTGAGCCGACCATTGCGCTGAACAGCCCGATCTCAGCGTCAATGAGGTCGTCAAAGATAGCTTCCTTCTCGCGCCATGCGCGCTCGCGTTGTGGGCGAATTGTCTCCCACTCGGCTTGCAGCCGTGTAGCCTCCTTGCCAGCCCACGCGATCTGTCGACGGAGAAGACGGTAGAGTTCGCGCGGGGGTAGGGCGAGCTCCGGTTCGTCGAAGTCGAGGTCCGGGCCAAGCTCTGGCATCGAGGTCTCTTCGGGATCGTGTGTGTCGGTTGTGACGGTGTGTGGAACAATAGTGATTGCTTCGGCGTGTGGCTCGGACTCGGTGCCCGGCTCCCTGGGCTGGGTCAGCTTCAAGCGGATGCGTTGCAGCTTCGAGGCTGGGGTGCCGGTGGTGCTGCCCGGGGTGCCATGGACTTTTGAGATGGAGTCAATTGGGCGCATGGTGTCGGTTTCGTGAACAGAGCGCATGTGCTTGGTCAAGGCGTCGGAACGGGTGAAGTTGCGGTCACATTCTGTAGTTCATTGTTAGTACTCGAGATCTATCAACATCATATACCCCGTTTCGAGGGGTCACAACGTACCGGGTAGAGTGCAGTAGAATGGCTTCTCGCGGGTGTGACTTCTCATATGTGCGCGAAGGGCATAGGCGCTAGCATGTGTTTGACCTTTGCGGGTGCAATCGTTCCACTCGCATGAGTATCGCTTCTGTCGGCTCCCGATATGTTCATTGTGAAGGTGCTGCACCAATCCATCCATGTTGCCGAGATCGCCAGCGCTGCATCCATCCCATCGGCAGATAGTGACCTGGTCGGTACTCTGGCCGCTATAGTCATCTTCTTGATTGGTGCCAAGGAGGCTAAGGATGCTGGGGGAGTTTGGAATATCGCCAGAGCTATCAGAGGAGATTGAGGCAGTCGGGGAGGGAGGAGGGTGGATTTCGTCTTGGGCAGAGGAGAGAGGAGTCTGACGGTCCCAGGACGCGACACCGGTGCGACGACGCTTGGAGGGCGGCAAGTTTGACATCGAGGGCGAATGCGCGCGGCTTTCATGTTTCATGGATTCATGATCTGAAGTCTCGAGGGATCCCACCGAGGAGAGAGGAGAACCAGGAGAGTCTCGTGAAGCCATTGTGGATAGTATAGCTGATATAGAAAAAGGGACGCGGCAACAAACAAATTGCATCCGTCTATTAGCTATAGCGAGGGAGGCCATCGTATCACATCACGTGTCTTGGCGGAGGAGGATGAATTGGATCACGTGGTTGACTTGGAGCTGGCGCAAGTGAACACCCTCCTCTCCCTCCCCTCTCCCTCTGTTGTCCCTCTGTTCTCCCTCTTCTTGTCTTCCTTCGTTGTTCTTACATGTATGGATTGACCTTGTTTATTGTCTTTCTCATTCTATTTACCACCTCTTAAGACCCTGTGTTGGTTTATTTACCAATGCACAGACCTCCTCTCTCTCTTGGTGGACCGCACTAACCCAATGGTAAGCTTGCCTTTGCCCTCTATGCACACTACATACACTACCCGCTCTATACAATGAACATTACACAACACCGAATATCCTCAACTGCCCTACATACTACAAGATGATCAGAGTCTATTGAATTTGCAATACTGACAATCACCAATTACATGTGCGATTGTATGTTGACTTTTCTACACTTGATCTGACCTATACAACAACCCATTGGCATACAAACCTCTCTCATTTGCTATGATCTGTGTCTAATAAATCTATAGATATTCTGCAGGAAATTCCTAGTACCGAGCCCCAGAAACCGTGTGTTCCTCCAAAATCGCATCGATCTCAGCCATCTCAGAATCCGTCAGCGTCTCTGCACCACCCATGTTCTGAACCACCTTATCCTTCGTAGTACCGCCAGGGATGGGGATAATAGTAGGCATGCCAGGCTTGCCACTCTTGGTCCGGATCCATGCCAATGCAATCTGAGCAGGAGCATCACCTTTGCGAGTAGCAAGGTCATTGACCTCATTGATGAGTTTCAGGTTGTGTTTGAAGTTATCTTCTTGGAACCGGGACATGTGGTGCCGAATATCATCGTGGGGGATATCGGCCAGCGAGGTCACAGCTCCGGTCAGAGCACCTCGGCCGAGTGGAGAGTAAGCGATAACGGGGATGTCGAGCTCCGCACAGGTTTTGGCAACATCGTTTTGGAGAATATCAGTAGACCATAAGGACATTTCAACCTCGACGGCAGCAATTGGGTGCACCTTGTGTCTAGAGAAGCAGTTAGAGTTGAGTTTGTCTATAAGAAATCCCCATGAAGACCATAAGAGTCGAAAATAGAGACACATACGCTCGGCGGATCGTCTCGGCATCAACCTCGCTCAATCCAATTCCTCCAATCTTGCCCTCCTTGACATACTCTGCGAGAACCTTGATGGTCTCCTCAACGGGGAAAGCAGAGTCTTGTCGAGCGCATTCGAAAATGTCGAGCTTCTTCTTGCCATCAAGCAAACGCAGACATTCGTCCACGCTACGACGGATGTTCTCTTCCGAGCCATCCGGGACAAGCTCGCCCTTCTTCAACCCACCCTTTACACTGAGAACAACCTTGTCTGCGTTCTCAGGGTACTTGGCGAAGTACTTGTTGAGCAGGTGCAGAGAGTTGTACTCCGGAGTGCCGTACAACTCGCCAGCGTTCCAGAAGTTGGCACCCAGTTCCAGGGTAGTGTTAAGTGTCTCAAAGCACACCTCATGAGATGGAGGCTGTGCATTCCACGTCATTCCTGATTTGATGATTAGCATAATGTCCGCCAGTTGTGGTGTTCGCTTGGGCGGAATCGTACTCATGGTGCCATAGCCAATAGGGCCGACTTCCTTTCCAAGTAGAGAAGGCATTGTCAAATATAAAAGACGAGTTTAGAAACTTTAGTGAGATAAGACAGTTGGTTGAATGTTGATCTTGGTGGCGGGTTGGTCTTTTATGGGGTTCAAGAAGTGCCCCGCTGTCGGGTTAGATTGATCGCAGTTAAGGATATCCCCAGGTTGTTACCGCGAGTTTCGTGCGATCACTTAGCCCGTCTAGGTAAATCCTCATGATAATAACTTCTAATCCGAACTTCCCGTGTGCTCTCCGGGCATAACCTGCGGAGTTGTACTGTTGATGTTCGGAGTTGTGACCGGAAAACGAACGGAGTTAAGGGAGTTTAGCGTTCAACCTCATAAGGGCGAAGTATTGATTTCTTTGCGAGGTGAAGGTGCTATTATTACTACAGCGCATAGCCAATTGTCGGTAAATCGTCTAACGAAGATGGGCTACACTGGATGCCTCATCTCGACGATCCTATTTCTTTTTTTTTCCTGCAGAGCTGCCTACTTCATAAATTTGGCCCGGATGGCCGAAAATGACCAAAGTCCTGAACTACCTAGGTAGATCTCAATTTCTTTCTCCGGTATAACCTTCTTCAAGCCGCCAGGCCAAAGCTAGACATCAAGGCATCAACATTCAGAGTTTTGGCAGCTGGCGCCTATACCGCTTCCTAGGAAGCCATCCAATCCAATCTCATCAGAGCTGTTAATCACATTCTTCAATCGATGCTCCAACTCCTCATACAAGGAATCAAAGGCAACAGGGATATCCTCGGTCGTAACTTTCTTATCCCCATTCCAACCCTGCCCAATCTGGACGTTCTCGATTGGTCTGTTGTTGCTTTGTACATGTTTCACGGTATGAGTGTAGCCAGCCCCATTGCTGCTATAGGTTGGTGTGTAGCTGGTGGAGCTAGAGTAGATAATGTGCGTGGTTTGTGTTGGCTTCATGTTGCCCAAGTCCTCTTTGGTCTCCACACTGGCAGTGGGCGTGGCGGTTGGAGTTGATGTTGATGTTGCCGTTGCCGTTGGGGTTGGCTCTTCCAGACCCAACCCTTGCAAGATGTCATGGACGTACTTCTGGGTGTCTGGAATAAGTCTCTGTATTTTGTTAGGAGTGTGTTGTTTCAATGATAGGAGTGCCATGTCTGAGTGACTAACCGGTGACCGAGATTCAAGTTTGCTAGCTTGTCCCTTTTCCATCGCCTCATCTGTCTGGTGGATTGGATGCGCGTTGACAGTAGACACTGCCAGCAGTGCTATCAGGACTGAGAGCCATGATGCCCTTGGAATAACTTGAGACATAGTGTATGGATTCAAGCGCATGTTGTGATGAAGTGGTTGCTTGAAACGGGGTACTTCCCTGCTAATATGGAACAGGTAAACATCAAGCGTCACGACTATTCTAAGATGCAACGCCTGGGAGGCCGATCTGCGACCCTATTTTGTGGACTACCGAAATTACCGAAATGCCAATGCCAATGCCAGCCCTTTATCGTTTGGAATGAGGCTTTAATAGTACTTGAATGCTGATATTCATATCCCTGATATATTTTCCTTTTTTTTTTTTTTTTGGTAGCTCAATTCAAACATTGTTTCCATCGGCTGAGAGAGTCTGGGGGAGTTGTTTATCTGTGAAATTGGTTTGACACTGTATCAAAAGAATTATTTCTTGAGCAAAGCGTTCCTTCGTGGATCTAGGGGCCTGTGTCGATCCCCAAAATGACAGAACACATTCCAGAGACAGATTCTCCTGTGCGCCCTTGTTAGATCATAATGATTCTGCCAAGAAAGAATGACTCTCGGGGAGCTACCATCTAGAGTGACTGGAATGAGGGAGTGATACTGCTCTTCTATCTCAACTTGTCCCCTATGCAACGTCTGCCGAATCAGCGCGTTCTTTTTACAGGCTTCCAAAATACTCATCAAAAACAAAAATTGCATTGTGGTCGGAGGCTTACATGGACTATTTCAATGTTCAAAAAGTTGAAGAACCCGTGTATAATAAAACAAACCCCTTCTTGACCCTGAGCTTAATGTTCGCTCTATTCCAATAACACCCTATGCGCCGTCGTTGAACGCATAATAGTTCATCCACCTCTGTAAAGAAAAATATTAGTCATCGTCTCTCATTGCTTAGGCTTGCAGTGGCCATTCAATAAAACCGACCTTATCATAGGGCTTGGACGAGTCGCAGAACCGTAGATCTGTCGCAAGACGGATGACATTGTCCGGATCATTGTTGACATTGGAAGCGTGGATCTTGAGCAAAGAGTCAGTAAAACCAAACTTTCCAAGTAAAGAATAAGCAACTCACCATATGAGGCTTGTGCAAAACCACATCACCCGCCTCATACGCCGACACCATCCATCGTCGACCATGCTCCCGAGCAAACTCAGCCGGGAACTCTGATAGCAGACCCGTAGACATCATGTTGGAGTTGAAAGCTGACTTGGCCTCTTCATCGGTCAACCCAGCCTGCTTCGCTTTGGCAAAGAAGGCTTCTTCCATTCCAAGTCCAATATTGTCACCTGTCTCGCAAATCAAATTAGTATACAAAGTTTTCTCCAAGAAACCTTAACCAAAGGTAGAGGGACCAAACCAACCCTTTTCCAAGTAGATCAATCCACCCCCATTGAGCTTGATATCTCCCATGGGGACCCAAGCAGTGATACTCGTCGGATCTCCATACCGGAGGAAGATCTGATCATAGTGCACACCAATCGGTTTCGATTTAGGGAGGTTGTTCCTAAGGAGCGTGCGACGCAAGTTCAACGTATTTGTTCCCCAATCCGAGAAGCGCGCAATAAAATCATACAGCGCTGGATGGTTACAGAATTTCTTCGCGTACCAGTCCTGATAGTGTGCATCAAGAGCAAGGTCGACAAAAGTCGCTGCTCGCTCACCACCGGGCTTGCCGTTCCCGTCAATGTGTCCTGCTCCAATTCCAGGGTAGTCTAAATGGTTCTTGGCGGGGTCAAAGACACCTTCGACAGGTGCTGTGCCGGGCTCCAGGACTCCTGTTGATTCCAGGGAGGAGAAGTATGCATCGCGGGCGGTGAGAACGTCCTCGCGGGGGAGGATTCCTTTTAGTAAGAGGTAGCCGTCCTCGTTGTATCGGTTGCGGAGCTCTTCGAGGGGGAGGGTTGGTTCTGAGGGGCGGAGGAGGGTAGCATTTTCTGATGTTAAGGGGCCGTCACTAACAGCGAGGTTGTCTACTTGGACGCCGACCATATTGGATATGATGAAGAAGTTTAATTCAAATATTTGGACAGGTAGGACGGTGCGATCTTATATCCCCCGCACGCCGGTTGTCCGTGGGTATGGAGGGGTATACTATGAGTATCACGTAGTGAAAACATCCAACCAAAATCCAAATAAATCGATGTTGACACTGATACCCCACATCGTTTGATTGTACGACTGCATTGATGTCAGAAGGGTTGGAGATTCAGTAGTAAAGAGTAATATTCCCCGTGATTGTGGGAGGAGTTCATTACCCTTTTTGACGAAATGTGGAGGTGCCAATGTTCATCCGCGGGGAAATTTGCCCTTTTGTGGTGCTATGACATGTGTAAATCATAAAGAATTACAAGGAGCATAGCATTTCTCCTTCAAGTACTGCGTATGTATTCTTGGGAGGCTATCACAGGGTCCTCAGGAAAATAAGCATTATATTATATTAATGTGCCGCCACTCCTGCAACGACTGTCTACGACGCGGCTCCCCCTGTATCAGTCAGGAATTTCCGGAGGACTTCGAAAATGTCCTCTTGAGCATTGGAACCACCAGTGGTGATGGCACTTCCTTTGACGGAACTCACTAGGTTCGCCTTTTCCCGCTCTTCTTCCCAATATTCTATGATTGTTACTGACGGCTTTCCAGCAATATCTCCTGATCACCAGGAATGGTTTAGGCACGAGGGTGCATATATCTATATCCCATAGTAACCATCCATGGGATGTTAGTATATTAGTCACTACGATTGTCGTCATGATTAATAATAGAACCCATATAACTACCTACCTACCTACCTACCTACCTAGGTACCTCCTAGGTAGGTACGCCGTTTGGGGTTTTCCATCCCTTCACGAAAATGATGTCCTTTGAAGATTTTCTTCCTCCAACTACACGGAGATATAAATATGAGGGGTATGATCAATGTCTTAGGGTTTTGGAGCAAGAGGCCGAGAGATGGGAACGTGAGGAAGTTGCACTCGGATGCTCATATAATCCTTATTTCATTATTGATATCGACGAATGCTCCTTCCTTGAGTGTTTTGTAAATTCGGGAGATAAACTACTGATGCTATCATGGGAATCCTACGATCACATCTCTCAATCCGCTCTGTTAAAAATGGAGTCTTCCGCCCACGCCGTTGCCGCCGGAGCGTTTAACACCATTTTCTCTGCTTGGGCCAGAAGAGTGGTCGACCCCGTTCTCTCCCCCACAAGTACGAGATATGTCCGTGGCCGGTCCCGAACCAAGAAAGCCGATATCTCTTTCAGCCCAAGAGATATGCCATATGGACTATCTAATAAGTGGCCAACTTTTGTTGGCGAGGTTGCGTGGTCGGAGCGTCGCACCAAGCTCCACGAAGACATAAAGTTCTGGCTGGACGATCCAGATAGTGCCGTCAATACCGCTATCACCATCAGTATTCTCCGCGATAAGATAATGGTGGAGAGCTGGGAAAGGGCCGATGACGGGCCTCCATCACCCAACCAAAAGATTGAAATTGTCCGCAAGCCCCGTTCAGGCTGTCCTCGGGTCAATGGCCAACTGGAGATACAATTTTCGGACGTTTGCCTAAGGGAGAGGAGAGACGGGGAGAGCAATTTCCTTCTGACGGCAACCGATATGGAGGAGCTCGCAGGTCACATCTGGAAATACCAATACCCAACCAACTAGCGAGAAAGACAGCTCTAGTAGGGCCTGGTAAATGGCTTATGATACCTGGATGGTGTGGACTCGTTCTTACTTGTTATTCCTTTATCATTGCTTCGCTTTTTGGTTCGTGTCATTGCCTTGCTATCCATAACTTTTTACGGTCATTCTTCATCATGATCGTCTATTCATGACTGGTTCGTTCGAGGACCAAGATGTCTTGGCTAGAAGAAAATCCCACCAAAGCCTTCTGGGAGCCGCGTGCGCGCAATTTCATATTCCATAAGAAGTATCGACCCTAGAATAATTTGATACACGAAATCAATCCGTAATAGCTAAAAAGCCTCTGGTATATGTCCTATGCAGGTCCCCTATAGTTGCTAGTGGTGACCGCAGGAGTGTCTACGATAGGTACCTAAGTAGCTATCCAGATGATAGACTAAGCTCTGTGGCAAATGTCATATGCTCATGATATTAATTTACACCATCTGCTCAACTCTCCAAAGATTTCACGCGTACTTAGTGCCTTAGCCACCGATCCATCTGGAGCAGGTGTTCCGGGTCTACCTGGCCTCATCAAGCCCATGCAGTACATGCGCCATAAATCCCAGATGAAAAGCCCCAGCTTGTGGAGCTCTCGAATCTTTTCCAATCCAGGAGTTGGTGGCCCGTGATTCCTTGTACGTTCCCGCAAGAATACCTCCTTCCGATAGAAGCTGCTGATAAAGCCACATGAAGCATGCCTGGCAGACTTGTGCCATTTGGTATTGATCTTTGAATTCTCCGGGAAAGGTTGCATTGACCACATCGAGCTATTAGGCATGCTGGGTGTCTGCAGTGATTCAAAAAATGGAGCGACATAGTCAAACTTACCAGTGCTGTTCGTGGCGTGAGCCTCTGGCACTGGTTCGTCGACTGGGGAGTGACACAAAGCCCCAAGCTCTCTCAGAGAGTCTGAAACACATTGTATTTCATCTGAGCTGGCCGGTAATAGGGATCCAGCCTCGGACGCGTTGGGAAGGTATGATCTATATATTATGATGTTTTGGATCTCTGCTCCAGACCAGCCCCAGCCGCCCCAAGATTCTCCAGACTGCGATTTCATCGGATCTGGTCCTAAAGCAGTCTTGTATCAATTGAAAAGACCCAGCGCTTGATAAACACGAAACTCTTCAACCCATGGCGGGTGCGCCAGGTCTTGTTCTCTCCGGTGGGGCGGTACATCCCACTGGGCAAGTAATTCAGGTGTGCATGCTTGGTCAAGCCTTTTTAGAAGATTCGTTAAGCATTGGCAAGCTGTATATTGGACTTGTGCTGCGGGCCACAGTCTCAGATTCAGAACAGAATTTAGTAAGTTCCATTTTGCTAAATGCAGTATTTTCAGTACATGTAGTTTGATTCACTAACGTATTCGGCAAGCGAGTGGCCACCGCAAGCCAGTGGCCACCCCGAAAACACATAGTAAATGTGATATTTTGTAACTTTATATCTCGACAACAACATTCTTCTCAGATCCCTTTTTTTGTCGATAGCGGTTGATAAGGATTTTTAGTATCATATATCAATTTTAAATAAATTGAGAACTTGCATTGTCATGGTATTGAAAAATACATCACTGAACTCTAGAAATATATATATCTCACTCACCAATTTATTAAGTTCCCCTAAACTCTAACAAGTGGTTAAATATCATATAAAAAGCATTATGCTATAAGGAAAGCTCCTATAAACAACCGTTGTTGAAATATCACGTTGTAATTTATCGCTTTTACTATGTGTTTTCGGGGTGGCCACTGGCTTGCCGAATAGTTACGTAGACTTGAACGCCCTTTGGCTTGGGTTTTGAACCATTTGAGTCTCCCATTAATGCTAATGTTGCACAAATTGCACTTTTAGCAGATGCAGCTGTTCATTGGATAATTAATTTTACTGACGTCTTTTAGTTGTATATCGCCCAGTTATTGTTGGCTTGGGGCCTGCTGATCCTTGTGAATAGCTGTGTACTCCCCCATTGGATATACTAGCTGACCGCCTCTATCACCGCCTGCTTAAAGCCAATTTTAATCTCTAAGCTAATTTGAGTTTCTCTTTTATTTCTATACTAAGGTTCGCATGTATCCCTTGTAATAGTGGTTTGTGTGGGATAAAACCATTAAATGAGACAAAGAATATAAAGGTATCACGGTACGGTCGCAAATTATGTGATGAGGGTTTGAAGAGATCTTTATAGATAGATCCACACTTTGAAACCACTTTTTTTTTTTTTTTTTTTTTTAACAAATTATACTCTTTATACTACTCTCCCTCCTCCCTCGTTTTAGTTGTATGCATTAAAAATCTTACTCCTGCTATGCTATACGTTCACGTACATATGAGATTCATGCCATCGGAGGGGTTTTGACTGGCATTATATTATATAATCAGGGGTGGGGGCCCGGGGCGCTGAGGGGGTCCACCTGGACACTGACCTCGGGACTTCAATGGGGCGGCCCCCTGTGGAGTTCCAAGGTTGATTTTCACAAGTTCCAAGGTTGTTCCACTCCGCCACATTCTCGGGGAATCTGGAGTACACAGCCTATTCCCTACCGCCTGATTTACTAACGTACAACGTAGCCCTCATTCTTTACATATATATATACCTACACCTACCCCCAGAGAAACTTACAACAAATATCGGTCTACTCCCATAACCGATAGATATCTACTGCATTCCTTTGTTTCTTTGGTGCAATGTCTTTAGGATCACTGGCAGGATGGCAATCTACCCTGTTTAGTGCTCTTTCGTTCACGAACCTTATATCGTATCTTCAGACCGATATACAAATAAATGTGGTCATCTCAATACTACTAAGTTCCGCTATCTTCTTTAATGTAAGAATCCACAAAACCAGCCGCTTTTTTTGTTCAACTGAAACTAATTCATCGCTATCTTGACAGTTCGAATATACAGATGGAAGCGTGATAGCGGCGCTCGCCGTCTTGGAGACCCCAACCTCCATCAACGCTTCAAACCCCCAGCAAGTCGATATTTCCAAGGTTGACAAAGTTGAAGACGACCATGTGGACCAGAGTGATGTTACATCAAGAGATAGATCAGAAGATGCAAGGCAGCTCCTCTCGAGTCTGAGGCAGACCTTGCTCTGTGATATTATACCTTGTCTCGGTGCTGGTCTCTTCATGTGCGCCGGTCTCTACCTCATATCGCTCTTTGGCTTCATTGGCCCTGACTTGAACAAAACGCATGCTATGTCCACGTTTGTCGTCTCGGGACACTTGACGATGAAGACAATATTCTCTATCACACCCAGCTCTAATGCTGTCACCAACCAACGAAGCCTTGCTCGTCAGCATTTACGAAGTCAAAAAGGATTCCGGTCAATTTATCCTGGGCTCAATGTCTTCTTGATATATAACCTTGTGACAGTTTTGATCACTATCCTGGCAAGGCCGATTTTTGCAGAAGGACACAACCTTTTTGTCACAATGTTTTTCAGGTTAAGTTTCGGGCTTCTTTTAACAAATCTGCATACGGCTTGGGTTCACGCCGTTATTTCGAAGCCTAGCAAGAAATCGATGTGGCAGAGACTTCCTGGCTGGCGAGAGTGGATCGCGATAATCCCAGCAGCATCTCTGGATATAGTCCTGCCACACTGTGTCTACCATTTGACGAAGAGATTTGGGGTATCCATAGGTTACCAGGCTTTTGGAGAAGCTCATTTCTCGCAGGAAAACCTCGGAAGCCTCGCTTTTCTTATAATTGCGGTTGTATTTGAATACTTTGCCTCGATTTTCACACGAGCTACATATATCAGGGTTGCGGCGTCAATGCTACCCAACGATGATGAATCCGTTGTACCGTTCGACCGCAGCTTTGGAGGCCGAGTCGGAAACAATGAGACACATTGTCTTACCATCATTGATGCGTTCAGGACTATGGCATTGCTGAACTGGTATCGTTATCTGAAAATTGTCTGGGAAGTGCTTTACTACGAGCATATTGGGATAGTGTTCTCTGGCATTGCCATCGCCATCCAGACGACCTTTTGGGTATAATGCACTGCTGTATTCAATAAGGCGGGATAGCGGCATTTCGAAGCGAGCACAAAAATATATTTTTAATGGAAAAAAAAATCGAAGAGAAGAGGCGAAGCTCCCATTTTAGGAAACACGAAGACATTTCGTAGGTTCTGTCTCTGTTCCATATTGTCGTCGCTTTGCAGCTTGGAGTCGATGCCGATTTGGCCGATATCTCAAAGTAAAGCGATGAAAGTCGATGATTAAGGCCCGCCCTAGTTACTTATTCCAAAGGATATTGTCACGCCGAAGATCTTCATGAACAATTCCCAAAGAATTGATTTCCTTGTACGACTTGCGCATCTCCTCGCGAAGCCAAGGCGACAGCTCCATCGTTGATGTGCTTTCCCCACCCCAGCCTGGATTATGTCACGGGCCAGCCCATCAATGGTTCGGGCCGAGCCGCGTTCACCTATCTGGAGTTCACCTCTCAGACTTGGTGTAGCCGCCTTCTTATACCGCAGTGCTGTTGTGTATCTGAGTGCAGCGTCTATTTAAATACGGCTCGAGTTACATCATCCTTAATAGGCCGTTTTCAACCGCGACCATTGGCCGTAATATAACAAACCTGCGGTGGAAGAGTAACCAAGTTCTAGAGGTGGAATAAATGAGGAGGTATATGAGTTATAGATCTCAGGGGCACTGATCTATACGTACGTTCTTCGCAATAGCTGTCGATCTTTCATATAGTCCCCGGGACCTCAGTCGAATCACTAGGGTCGCACCGCACGAGACATTACTCAGGAGGGGGAGTTCTGAAAAGACGGTGAAAAAGTGAAATTAAGAGGCTTCTTCCGAGAACAATTGTTGAAATTTGAATGCGGGAGTCTGTTTGGAGGTACTGTACTGCCTGATTGTGATTATATTCACACCCAAACAAACAATTTAATCTCACCAATCCTGCGTGTGGTCAAGGAATATAGCTACGCTACTGCATACTGCCCAGTCCAAGAAAAGACGAATAAATAGACAAGGAAATGTGAGGAGGTATAAAACATTCTCCCAAGCGCGAAATCGGCGTACAAGTGCAGGGCGGCGATTTTGGGGGGTCGAAGGCATGCGCAGTCGAGGAAGGTAACATGTAGTAGATGTCTACAAGGGGATTACAAGGTCTGGAAGAAGGCAAATGGCATTGCAACATAGATTCAGCTCAATATCCTACATGTATGTGTGTGGAAGGGCAGAAATTACTTGCATATGAAGTCAAGTGTGAATGCACTCCCACCTACTCCTCTTCAATCTCTCCTTCCTCGCTGCCAGAGTGAATGGCCTTCTCATCTTGCTTCTTCACATCCTCGGTTTCTTCTTCCGGAATAGCAGAGCGTTCCCGTCGGGGGATTCTGGGGCCCTTGCTGCGCTCTCGCTCACGGCTATCACGTCGGTACCGCTTGGCAGACCGGCTAGCCACACTCTCAGTATCACTGTCACGTCGGCGTCGGCGGTCACCACTAGCCACACTGCGAGTGTCGACACCACCAGTACCACTAGTACCACCAGTACCACCACCATAATCAAGCTCATCACGGCTTCCGCGGGGATCACCTCGAGTGCGGTACAGGCGCTCGCGTTCGTCTTCACGTCGGTCTGGGTCTCTAGCACGGGGACGGTCAAAGTCACGGTCTCGGCTACGGTAACGGTCGCGGTCTCCACGTTCATCGCGGCGGTCCCGGGGTGGGGAAATACCGCTGACCTTGCGGTAAGTTCGTTCGCGGTCGGCTTGTGCCTTGCGACGGTCTGCCTCATATGCATCCATTTCCGGGGTGCGGGTGGACTGGCCGCTGGGTCCACGGCGTTCTCCTCGTCCACTGCGGTATTCACGATCACCACGGTCGTAATCCCGTCGACTTCCACGGCTTTGAGAGTGTGCTTCGCGATCCCTCTCTGCATCCTCATCCCTTTCTTTCAGGCGACGGATTGCCTTTTCAAAGGCAGACTCCCGAAGTTCATCGGACTCGAGGGCCTTGTATTCTTCGTATTTCTCAAGGCGAGGTTGAACTTCGGCCCAGGTATCGGTGACCCGGACAGGGGGCTCGAGGCGCTTGATACGAGAGCGCAGTGCGTCCACTGCGCGGCGCTGTTGACGATCGGCGGCGTGCTTCTCATCCTCTGTGCGTCGGATTGCCTTTTCTTGGATACGCTGGAAGATGAGGTTGAGGATCTCAGGGTCGATCTTGGATGTGCGGCGGTCGGCGGACATGATAGAATTAAATTCATCAAATGTGGTTTCGGTCGTAACTTCATATCGTTTGTCCTGGAATGAGTTAGTATCTATAGTCAACGATTCCGTTCAATCCTAGACGACTTACATCCAGAACATCGAGAACGTCGTTCCGAGGTCCACGCAAAGCGCGCTCTTCTTCTTCCACCATATCCCAGAACAAATCAAGAGGGGTCGAACCAGGCTGGCCCAGGATTCCATGGTATCTAGGGTCATCCTTAATGATCGGGCAGATATTCATCCACTTGGCGCCCGCCTTGATCTTGCCCTGAGCTCTGAGCTCCTTAAGGAGGGCCACAAACTGCTCTCGGTTCTTACGCTCTTTTCTAGCTCTGGCTGCCTTGTGCTGCTGGCGAGCATCGTTGAAAGCGCGCTCCAGGGATTTGATATGATTTTCGAAGGCAGTCAGAATGTCGCACTTGCTCAGAGATTTGAACTTGTCATCGCCTTGGAACTTGCTATCAGACTGAATGACAGCATGAGCCTCGGACCAGCGCGTGTATGGCTCCAGGTCAAGTGAGCCCAAAATGGTCATCAGCTCATCCATAGCGGCCTTGTGCGTGACAGACTCCTGCTCGAGATGAGCCTTCTTGAGTTCAAGGATGTACTCTTCGAAAAGCTGACGTCTCTCATCTTCCTCGTTGGTAGACCTGAATGTGGTCTCCCCCTCAATGATCGGGCGAATCGTCTTCCAGCGGCTGTAGTATTTGATTTCAGGGTGCCGCTTCAGCATAGTGTTGAAATCCGCGCGAAGCTTGGCAAATCGTTCTTTCGCCCGATCCTTTTCCTGCATGCGAACCTCGACCACGTATTTCTCGAATGCTGCCTTGCGGTCTCGCGGATCCTTGAGAGCTCGGTATTGCGGGTCTTTGATCGTAGCGCGCATTGTATCCTCCCAAGTCCAATCGGGCTGCACGTTGTGGCGTTTGAGGAGCTTCATGAAGGCGCTCTCGGCTTCCTCAAGAGAATGATAGTCGGGATCCATCTGTGATTTGTATTCAGGGGCAGCAACCATCCCATTTCCTTCATATGAGCCGTATCCACTGCGTCGGTCGCCATATCCTCGATCACCGCGATCACCGCGGTCGCCTCGGTCGAAGTCGTCACGGTCACGGTCACGTTGCTGGGGTTGGGAAAAAGAGGTTCCACCGGCCACGAAGGAAGGGGCACTATAATGGGATTAGAATTGAGGGAAGTTAATTTGGGAAGGAACTTACGCGGGGGCAGCCAGGGGGACAGGCGCCGCCTGTGCAAGCGCATCTTTGTAAACCGCAGGCATCTCCCATGTGCTTTGCTTGGTTTCTGTGTGGTACCAGTACTTGCGCCCAGCATCTGTGGTATGTTCCTTCCATGGCTGGTTTTCGAGAGCAAGCTGTAAACAGGTCAGTTAAGCTCATAGCATTTTGCGGTCAAATACAAACCTCAACCGGAGACATCAACTCTTGAGGCTTGGTCCATTGCGTGGCTTTGGTCTGGACATTGTAATAATAATTGCGCCCTTCAGCAGTTTGCGCCTGCTGCCATATGACAGAGTGTTGGTTAATGCTGGGATCCATGGTGAAGGGTGTTGAAGATATGAAGAGGAAGAATTGAAAACGGAGCTTCATGATCTCCGGGCTTTCTGCGCCTTTGGCACTTCCCGTCTACCGTATCAACACTTATCGGTTATCTCCTGAGCTCCAAACAGCCACTTTATTGACTCCTTTGCGACATCCGTTGTCGCAATGCCTGGTCTGGAGATCCCGGGTGAATTGTTGCGTCATGCCGTTCTTGATACCGTTGTGCCTCATGCTCCAGCATTCGACATTGAGGCCGCCCTCAGTTCGGCCCTAGAGAATGGAGCTGATGATCTCCCCTCTGTTCTCTCGTCAATCCCTCAACGGTCTCTATTGTTCTTTGGTATGGACTCGCAAATATTCGGCAGGGGTTTCATCTTACTCATCCATAGCTATTAGATGAATTTTTGTTCGTCCGTATCGTCTTGAGACTGTCGGATTGCTCAGGAACGATCCTGAAACATTACCTGCCACGACTCGAAGTCAAGCTCGATGTCTTTGCCGTCGATCCAGCGGAATCAGTTGGTGAAAACCTCACGCCAACTCGAGATATAATATTCTCGGGGATTGTTAGTGGAGATGAGGATCCTCTGGTGGTTTTCAATGAATTTGAGGGCGATGAAGGCAGTGGAAACCATGTCTATTTGGTATGGAATATTGAAACTATACTACGTGAGTTGTTTGAATTTTTGGGCTGTGTGTCATAACCTGAACGTCACTAATAGGTTGATAGGACGTCCCCGTATCCGAATCCAACACCCCTCACTCTTATTCATTGCCTCTGCCAGTCTGAATCCGGCTGATGCTCGCCGCCAAGATGATTCGGAGGATGACTATCTCCCCTCACTCGTGCCCGCATCGACCAACATGCTGCAATCTCTATCCACCGACAAATCCTTCAATCATAAAGAGCCTTTCCTTCCTGCTTCCAGACTGTTGAGGGTTGTACCGACAACGTATAACGAGGACCCGATATACAATATCCAGCAACAACATGGCCATCCCTTTCGCGTTGTGCCCGCTGCAAGTGCAAGGATTCGGTACTCTCGGCTGAGTTCCTACACTGCTATACCAATGACCGTGGCCAGTCTTGACTTTGAGGTCACTCCTTATCTGGCTTGCGAGGTCTCTTTTGACAAAGCAAGTCTTCACCTGTCCGAGGGAACGATTGAGTCGCTGTCAGACACCCCGGGCCTGAACCTTCCTATTACTTGCCGTCCGCGAGACGACGTGACTCTAATGTATAAACTCACACCGGAGTATGGCCCAGAGACCAATCCATCATCTACCGCGTTGGTTAGCACGCTGGACATATCTCTGGAGGCAATAATTCTCGTGGATGATACCTGCAAGCCACGTATTTCTATGCAGTGGAAAACCAATGTTGATTTCTCAGTTGCCCTAAATCCAACTTTTGGGGGCCCAGTCCAGCACTGCAGAGGACCAACCGCCCTACCAGTCTATCGGTATCAACTCAAGTAGGCGTGACACCTTCCCATCGAAGCTCATTACGAGAACGAGCATATTCGGTCACCGATGTGGGCATAACAATTTCCTTCTCCGGACCTGTTCGTGTGCAAGTGGGTTCTGTCTTCTCTTGGGATGTTTTTATTGTCAATCGATCAAACGTTCCTCGCAAGTTTGCCTTGATCGCCATCCCCAAGCGGAAACGTGTGGACCCACGAGGTCATGTTGCTCGGCCTTCATCATCATCTATTACTAGCCGGAAGGAGGACCAAGTGGCCGAGGCGGTCACTGACGATAATATTGTTCATGCGAGGCAAAAGAGTGTGTCTGGCCAGGAAGCGGAACTGATCAGCTTGAGCACGGATATTCGCGTGGGGTGGGCTACTCTCTGCTGTTTTTTTTTCCCTCTCTATTCCTCTAAACTGACGTTTTTATTAGCCCTCTCCTTCCAGGAACTTGCCACTCGACCGAAATCAAACTTCTTCCTTTGGCTACGGGCCCACTTCATTTGGAGGCAGTCCGGCTTGTAGATGTGAACACGAACGAAACGACTGATATCCGAGATCTTCCGGACATTTTGGCGGATGATCAGCCTCGCTCTGGTTAAGACCAGTCTAACACTGTACATATATATGACACGAATCTATAGCTACCTTCAAAGTAGCCTGTCCTTGACATAATTTTTCCTATGTTCTTTTATCGTGTCTTTTTGAAATGATCTTCTTCGAGGCTGTCAACACCTTAAGCCTGGGTAACTACCTTTTATATGTCGAGACTCTACACTAGCACGTATCTACTTTAGTAGCTTTTCGCTATCTGGTCGCTGGTATCTAGTAGCCTATCATGGGGGTCTTGAACCCCGGGCCGCCACGCCGTGGACGACTGTTTGAAAGACGGGTAAAATTGTAACAGTTATAGAGTATATATTGTTGGAATAAATACGGCGTCTTTTCCACTAGACCATAACAAAAACCTCGGTTCCTGTTTAGGGCCTAGGGAGGCCATATCCCAGTCTGACATATATCTTTAGCTAGACCAAAAGGAACACATCGTAATTGTAGGGTAAACTTTAGAGTACTACTACCTAGGGTTAAGAAGCTAGAATAGATCTATTTCTATCCGGCTATATAGTTACCCATAGTTATGTAGTAGGCTAAGATGATATTGCTTTCGGAATCACAATGGATACAATCATGTTGTTACTGATTGACGTTGGTTATGTATCATTGCTGCTACAGAATTCATATTTATGAAGCAAATGAATGTATAACTATTGTAGAGTACTACCTAGGTAGTACGTAGATATATATAACTACGTATGTTGTATACTCCGTAGTAGGCAGCAAAATAAAGTTCAAGGAATGTGATTGGTGGAAGGAGATCACGGGGTAATCGACTCGGTGTCGTAGTTGACCAGGTGACTTAGTGCGGGAACTTGGAGAGGGACTATCTTCTTTCTTTGATATCTTCTTATCTACGATTTTCTCATATACCTTTGGGAACTGGGTTTAATATCCAGCTTCTCAGCTCAGCCTTTCAACTGCCCCGGTGCTCCTGGACTTTGCGTCATACTGGCGCACCTGGTTTCTTCCCAGAAACCTTGCCTATCACTCTGCTCCAGTGACTAGAATCCTCTGACATGATCTGTTCTGCGAAGCGGAAAGTCCTGGATGGACTGAATAAGAGATATATCTACGGTCGCGTGGTATGTTTGATGCCCCTTACTGACCCTGGCATGTTGTCATCTTCCAATTTGTTTACAGCGGCTAATCCTGTTGCCATTATCTTCTAGCCTTTATTGCACACGATAGTTTTCCTCGTCGAGATGGCAGTAGCAGCACGCCTCGCTGCTAAATTTAATACCTACTATGCTGAAAGGCCAGGTAAGCCTTTTGCCGCCGGTACCCGCGGGATCATAGACTGACATCACTGCTATGAATAGTGCTCACGACGATGGTCACCAACGCTGTAAGCGCCCGCGACATTGAAGATTACCCTATTGACCGACAATTAACCAAATGGATGTTATAGGTGCTTGGTGGTGTTGCCGATACCGTTGCGCAGCTGATTACGGCCTTCCGGACCCGCCGGCCTCAGACAAGCGGGGACGACTTCCTTTCAATAGAGATCCCCGACATTGACAAGTACAAGACCCCTGCTGTGGGGGAACTGGGATATGTCCGGAGCTCGGTTCCGCCTTTCGATTTCGAGCGTCTGACAAGATTCATGGCTTATGGCTTTTTTATGGCGCCGGTGCAGTTCCAGTGGTTCGGATTCTTGTCCAGGGCATTCCCGCTCACCAAGAAGAATCCAACGGCTCCAGCTTTCAAGCGTGTCGCTTTTGACCAGTTCATTTTTGCGCCATTTGGTATGTTCCACCTCTAGCTACTTTGGGATGTTTTTGGACTGGACTGATTTATTCTAGGTCTGGCGTGCTTTTTTACCTACATGACGATCGCCGAGGGTGGTGGTAGAAGGGCATTGACACACAAGTTCCGTGATGTCTACCTGCCAACCCTGAAGGCCAACTTTGTGCTCTGGCCGGCAGTGCAGATTCTAAACTTCCGGGTCATTCCCATTCAGTTCCAGATTGTGAGTCTCCCATGTTCACCTCATTAAGATGGGACCCATGCTAACTTCCTAACCCAGCCATTCGTCTCAACCATTGGTATTGCGTGGACCGCATACCTTTCTCTGACTAACTCCTCCGAGGAGGCTAATTGAACGCTATTCAACGCGTTTATCATGATAACGATTCAGGCTACACAGGCTACACAGGCTATAAATTGCACTCTTTCTTTTGCCAAATTATTCGGGCGTTCCGGTTGATCAGTCTAGCTTTGATGTACATGGTTCTAGTATTTGCCCGCAAGGGTTGCATTTCAAAAGGTCGGATTTTACACATTTGGGAATACCAACTCGGGGTTTTTATTAACAATTTCGGTGATTTGACTTTGGATGCTTCAAGAAAAATTTCGCTTTTCAGCTATTTAGCTTTTCAACCTCGGAGCTTCACATGAGATTCGGAAAAGATCCAAGCATGTAGCGGCTAATGGCATTTCCATCTGTAGAGGTAATCTTCCCAGAAATGCCCGACTCCGAGGCTAAAGAGGACCTTTAGTCCTCTTTTATGGCCCGGCCTTCCCCGTATCAACAAGCAGCTCTGACATCAATCCCGCGTCAGCCCGATCACTTCTCCGGGGATAGTCGGGTACGGGCAATTGAGGTACCAATTTTATATAGATACTTAGGAAACATGAATTAATTCATACCTGGTGCAAGTACCTCGAGAGGTCAAGTACTTTATATGTAAGTACCCAGGTTGCTACGGGTGCGACCTCTTCACCGGCCTGCCCCACCAGAACTGACCCCTCCACTCTCGACTGATCGCGACTCACCGTGGCCTGATTAGTTCTTTCTCCTACTTCTATCCCTTTTCTTGCTTCTTGTCCCTTTGTCATACCATCAACCACCTATAATGTCTCTCTCTAACAAGCTCCCCGTTACTGATGTCGACCTCAAGGGCAAGCGTGTCTTGATCCGGGTAAGGTCCCAGTCAATTGAGCTTCATTACTCGCAGCCCCTAACCGATGATTGAAACAGGTTGACTTCAATGTCCCTCTCGATGAGAACAAGAACGTTACCAACCCCCAGCGTATCGTCGGTGCTCTGCCCACCATCAAGTATGCTATCGACAACGGTGCCAAGGCCGTTGTCCTCATGTCCCACCTCGGCCGCCCCGATGGCAAGGTCAACCCCAAGTACAGCCTGAAGCCCGTTGTTCCCGTGCTTGAGAAGCTTCTCAGCAAGAGCGTCACCTTCACTGAGGACTGCGTTGGCCCCCAGACTGAGGAGACCGTGAACAAGGCTTCCGATGGCCAGGTCATTCTGCTTGAGAACCTGCGTTTCCACGCTGAGGAGGAGGGCAGCTCCAAGGATGCCGAGGGCAAGAAGGTCAAGGCCGACAAGGCCGATGTTGATGCGTTCCGCAAGGGCCTCACTGCCCTCGGTGACGTTTACGTCAGTATGTAACCCCACGATAACGTTCCGATTTCCCTGTCGTTCTCCTATTTCTAACATCTATTTCAGACGATGCTTTCGGTACCGCACACCGCGGTCACAGCTCCATGGTCGGCGTGGACCTCCCCCAGAAGGCCGCCGGTTTCCTCGTGAAGAAGGAGCTGGAGTACTTCGCCAAGGCTCTTGAGAGCCCTGCCCGTCCCTTCCTCGCCATCCTCGGCGGTGCGAAGGTGTCTGACAAGATCCAGCTGATCGACAACCTTCTGCCCAAGGTTAACAGCCTCATCATCACCGGTGGAATGGCCTTCACCTTCAAGAAGACTCTTGAGAACGTCAAGATCGGAAACAGTCTCTTCGACGAGGCCGGCAGCAAGATCGTCGGTGAGATCGTCGAGAAGGCCAAGAAGTACAATGTCGAGATCGTCCTCCCCGTTGACTACGTCACCGCCGATAAGTTCTCCGCCGATGCCACCGTTGGTGCCGCTACCGACGCCACCGGTATCCCCGACGGCTACATGGGTCTGGATGTTGGCCCCGAGAGTGTCAAGCTTTACCAGAAGACCATCGCTGAGGCCAAGACCATCCTCTGGAACGGTCCCCCCGGTGTCTTCGAGCTTAAGCCCTTCGCCAGCGCCACCGAGGCTACCCTCGATGCCGCTGTCAAGGCTGCCGAGTCCGGCTCCATCGTCATCATCGGTGGTGGTGATACCGCTACCGTGGCCGCGAAGTACAAGGTGGAGGACAAGATCTCCCACGTCTCGACTGGTGGCGGTGCTTCGCTCGAGCTTCTCGAGGGCAAGGAGCTGCCCGGTGTTGCTGCCCTGTCCAGTAAGTAAATGATGAAAAATAGTCGGCGAAGAGAGTCTACATCGGCTTTTCTTTCGTCCCGCATGTTTATGAAACTGTAATGTACACAGCCAATGAATTTCCTATAATTACAAACACATTTTTATTTTAAAAGACCTCCATTGTGCTCTTAGATCGGATAACTAAGTGTTGTGCCTAGGTACGAAACCGAAGCTTTAAGTCGAGACATCCAGAGATCTCTCGAGGTCAATTGCCATGTATAGACGAGAGGAGATCCCTACGAATAGGATAGCAGCGCCAGTGGCATGTACACCGAGTTCGACCGTGCCAATCCAACTTCGACTGATACTTCCGTTCATCCCCTCCTACAAAATACCAGTTTAGACTTGGGCAGAATGAGAAGCTTTGATATTGGTGAAACATCAAAGAGAACATCATGATAGTGATCCCGAAAGCAAGATCTGCGCTCCGAGTAATGAATCGTAAAAAAGTCAAAAAGAACCGTGTCTCATTTCCTCCCTAACAAGCTCCCGACAAATGCATGCGGCAATTATGGTTTCTGAATCCTCCCATTGGTTCCAAAGACAGGGGGGTATAGTGTGCGAGATGAAATGGCCAGCCAACTCGATAATGAACCCATCCCGAAACCCGACGCGGGGGTTATCTCTTTTTGGTGCGCTTGTTCGGTTTCGTCTGGTCTAAGCCGATGCTTCGACTTTCTTCAATTCTTCCCTGGATGAGGTGATGCATGTTAGTGGGTGCGGTGAAGGAGGGGAAGCTGACAGCTGTGGCGGGGATGTGGGATCGGGGGTGCGAGCGTCGGTGGCGGTGTAGATATGAAATCAAAGAGAATTTGAAGACGAGGAATGTGGCATAAAGGGGATTCGAAGTGTAGGGAAGTGAATGTGAATGGGAGTATAGGGAAAGTCGAACTCACTGGAGCTGCTTGGAGAAGTCCTCCGCCGCATCATCATCATCCCAGCTCTCTTCCCACAGGTGCTCGCTACCGTCATTTGCTGTCGAGCCATTGGTCTGCTCGGCTTCTTCTTGAGGCCAGTCTGGATATCGTCGAGTTAGCTTCGTTGCTCCAGGGAGGAGCTTGAGTGTTTGGTCGATACCTTCAACGGGGAAATCCTCAAACTCGTCATCTTCCTCTAGGACTTGGGGCTTGGCTTGTGGCGGGGCCTGCTCTGTGTGATCGGCCTTCTGGGTAGTTGGGTTTGACATTGTAGTAGATGTGATAGACCGGGAGGATCAAAGGTAGATAGATAGGTGGAGATGTTGGACGTGGATGTGGCAGCTTTGAGGTCGGAGGTCGGAGGTTTGACTTAGTAAGACCGCGATAAGGCGATAACGATGATGTAGTTGGGAGACAACTGTTGGAAAACAGATACAGTGGTGGGGATTTAAATAAAAAGAAATGATGAATAGAATAGAGATATTGAAGAAGAAAATAGAAGAGAGTACTCTGTAATATCCAATACAATAAGTCTATAACAATCAGATTAATGTTGGACTTGACCTTCTATAAAAGGAATAGGCACGCGCGGAGGTGCCGGCGAAAAGAAACCATGGGAAGAGAGAGCCTCAGCCTAAGACGTGTTGTTATATTACTTCTCGCCCCTCCCCCCCTCGACCTTCCTTCTTCCCCTCTCCACTTCTTTCTTTGCGTTTTCCCTTTTCTCTTTGTTGCTCTCTCACATGAGTGATGTTCTCGTCCATCGTGTGTCTGCCATCGCACAGTTGACATATTGACATTCTTCCCGATCCGGCGCTCTCTCTTTTCGGCTTGATCGCATTGATCTGACCTGAGACCATTGTTGATTGTGTCCCCATTGAAAGATCCATTCTTCATACTCACTGCCAGCGGTTTTCGCTATGTTGCGAGTCGGGTCCTGGTTGTATGGCAAAAAGCCAGCGGGGGCTGTGGACTCCGTCGTTGAGTTGAAAGACTGTGAGTGGTGCCTTATACTCTAGCGAAGCCAATAGTGGTTGTTTATTGCATGCTGACTGACCGTGATATTCTGAGCTAGTGCACGAGGCAATGACAGGTATGTCCAATGGGGGAATGTCCGACCTGTGGGCACTGACTAATACCATGCCCATCTAGCGGCAACGCGGATTCTCGATGATGATGTTGACGGTGCGGAGAGTGGTCTCTCCACGGGCACTTCGTCTTTTCACAATGTGAGTGATCGTCACTATGAGATATGACGTAACACAGACCTCGAAGAACGATGCTGACTCTCGATCGTGTAGTTGGGTAAAGGCGTGGTTGCATTCGTCCGGGCAACGTTAGGCTTTGAGCAGGAGATTATGCGACAAGGTCCATGCTCTTTTTATCTTCTAAATCCACTGTTTCTGACAATCCCGCAGCATCCGAACGCCTTTATGAAGCAGAAACCAACGCGGCCAACGATCAAACCCGGTCCCAGCAAAACGCACAAGCACCCAATGCTTTTCACTCCGATATCTATGCTGCCGGCACCGAATATGCGCTGTGCCAAGCAATCGCCCAATTGATGAATGCGGTGGTCGGGGTGCTGAATGAAAGCCTGACAGAAAGCCTCAAAGCATTCTATCGGCTGAGAAAGGCTTACATCGCTCTAGATGCCATCATGAAGATGGAAGATAGGTTCATGGAGCAGAGGAATGTACACAAATCTCTACTGCCCAGCATGAGTGACCTCTCAACCTCGAGCGCTGCATGCCCAGACACAAAGTCGGAATCGTCCAGTCTCTTATCGAAAGACGGTACAAAAGTGGCTACCGCCAAGGAAGCCGAGGTGAATTCGTCAATGAATGGACCGGCTATCTCTCCCCGAGGGGTGTCTCCAGATACCTCAACGGGCACTTCCACACCTGCAAAGCATATCCACCACGACCCCGACTCCGACATCTTCAAGAATGAAATTGATATTTTTGTGCACTCTGGTGTCAACTTCTGCTTTGGTATTCTTCTTCTACTGATCTCCATGGTCCCACCATCATTCAACAAGCTTCTTTCCGTCATTGGCTTCCACGGCGACAAGCAGCGAGGACTGAGAATGCTCTGGCAAGCTAGCAAGTTCCACAACTTCATCGGTGCCATGGCTGCCTTGGCACTGCTAGGATATTACAATGGCTTTGTCCGCTACTGCGATATCATGCCCGACCCAACACCTGGCGAAACCGACGTCGAGGGATATCCGCAGGAGAGGCTGGCTGCGCTGCTAGCGGAGATGCGGTCTCGGTTCCCTAACAGTCAACTTTGGGTGATCGAAGAATCGCGCATGTTAGGCGCGAATAAGGAGCTGGGAAGGGCTCTGGAACTGTTGTCCACGGACAAGAAGAGCCCGCTCAAACAGGTCGAGGCGCTATGCGTGTTCGAAAAGAGCTTGAACGCACTGTTCCTCCATAAATACGATGTCTGCGCTGAAGCATTCCTGGAGGTAAGACTATTTCTTTTTTCAGAGAGTTTTGAACCATCAAGCTAATTCTTTCAGTGCGTGGACCTCAACTCGTGGTCTCGTTCATTGTATTACTACATCGCCGGATCGTGCCATGTTGCCCTGTACCGGCAATCCCTCGACGACCCAAAGCTTGCCGAGGAACATGCTAAGAAAGCCACTGTGTACATGCGGAAGGCACCCGAATTCGCCGGGAAGAAGAAATTCTTGGCCCGACAACTGCCGTTCGATGTCTTTGTGGCTCGGAAGCTTGCCAAATGGGAGGCGCGCGCCAAAGAATGGAACGTGTCTCTGGTGGATGCGATTGGAGTTGACCCCATCGAAGAAATGATTTTCTTCTGGAACGGACACAGTCGGATGACCAACGAGCAGCTAGAAGAGTCCCTGGCCCGGCTTCAATGGTGCGAAAGCAAAAGCAACAAGACATGGTCTCGCGAGGGCACCGAAGAAAAGGCGATCCTGGAACTTCTCCGGGCTGCAATTTTCCGATCACTGCACAGACACCACGAGGCGAAAAATATCCTGCAAACTCGCGTCTTGAACCACGACAAGTCTGTGTTCAAGGGCCACCTGAAGGATGACTGGGTCCACCCAGTTGCGCATTTCGAAATGGCGGCTAACTTCTGGATGGAGCGCCCAACATACCAGGGCCTGCATGGGATTACTGCTTCCCCAAAGACATCGGATGAAACGTCGGCAGGATCTGGAGAGACGATCATGGAGGCTGAACGAAAGCAGGTAGCCGAGTGCAAGGGATACCTCGAACATGCTGCTCGCTGGGAGAGCTACGAGCTCGATGCTCGTATTGGACTCAAGGTTACTGCCGCGATTGAAGCAGTTCACAAGTGGGAGAGCATGCACCCGACCATCTAATGGCTATTATTGTGTCTGTTTGAACCATTGGGTCACCTCTTAGTTCATAGCTGCCCCGGATACCTTATGTAACATACAAGTAGATGTTAAGGTTAGATGTTTTACGAAGTTCTTTTTAGGTCTCTTCTTCCCATCAGCACGACGATATCATGTGATAGGGTAACTCAACCTCAAACTCCAACTCCAACCCTTCATTACATCTACAGATTACATCTACAGTTCAGTTTTCCCGGTCGACAAGAGATAGAACACCATTGCTTGAACATGGATTTCATTGGCTCCGACAGACCCAGATGGAGTCGTTTGTCTTATAGCAGCAGTCGGCCCTTCGGCCTCATGGCTACTAAAGCCGAGCTCCTGCATAAAGCCGAGCTCCTGCATCCCTGAATAGGCCCTGGACCGGATAAATCTGCTATGATGATGCCGGGACTGAGGTATAGGACTGATATCCGTAGTAACCTTGGTAGCTTTCGGATAACACGGCTGTCTCATCGGACGTCCGACAAAAATCTCGAATGGCAAATAAAATAACTTCAAATCCCCGATATCTCTCAGCCTTACAGTTCCGAATTTCTAAGCATATCTCGGCTTGAGATCTCTTCCGTCATATCAACCTCTTATCTCCGAAATTCTTTTTTTTCCCCCGCGGACTTTTACTTTTCCACCGTCAATTTAGTTGACTTCATAATATCTCGTCTCATATATTCCATCTTAACCCAGCTCTAGCACTGGGCCTACGGCATTTCAGCCAATGACTCATGTGTGATAATGGCCGAACGGACAGAATATGACTATCCCGCCAGCAAATCCAGTGAGGATATCGAATCTATCGAACCGCATCGCAGCGATGGCCCGGCGGGTGAAACCGCAAGATTGGAAAAGCAAAGTACAGCGGCATCGGGGTATTCGGCCTTTGAACAGCGCACACAATCAATAGTCTCGCGCATTCGGAGTCGAGAGCCCGGCCAGACGGCCAAATTCAATCATCCACTCACCCAAACCAAGACAAGTCCCGATGTTATCGTGGATTTCGACGGACCGGATGATCCGTACAGACCATTGAACTGGAGTTTCAGGAAGAAGGCTATCACTACCGTGTTGTATGGATTAACTACTATGGGTATGTCCGCAGGCAATGTCAGGAAAATGATGATGAATCATGGAGAACAACGCTAATCGCCGGTATCAAATTGTAGGTGCGACGTGGGCGAGTTCAATGTATGTGCATTTTTTGCTTGCTTGACGGTTTAGAAATTTATTAAACTAACTACAATGTTAGTTACTCGACGGGCCAGGCGCAGATTAGTGAGGAGTTCGGCATCTCCAGTGAGGTCGCTACACTCGGCACCTCATTACTCTTGTTCGGCCTCGGATTGGGGCCCTTGCTCTGGGCACCTCTCTCTGAGCTCTATGGACGCAAGACAGCAGTTTTACCGCCATACTTTCTGGCGGCCATCTTTTCGTTCGCAACTGCCACCGCAAAGGATGTGCAGACTATCATGATCACTAGATTCTTCACGGGCTTCTTCGGCTCCGCCCCTGTGACTAACACCGGCGGAGTCCTGGGTGATATCTGGACCCCCGAACAGCGTGGAGCTGCTATTGTTGGCTATGCTATGGCTGTTGTGGGCGGGCCTGTAATTGGACCCATCGCGGGTGGTGCCATCGTCCAGAGCGATCTAGGATGGCGCTGGACTGAATATGTAAGTTTTCTATGTCTCTGAGGTTGAAACTATGCTAATATCTACTAGATCACTGGTATCATGATGATGTTCTTCCTAATTATGGACATCGTCTTTGTCGACGAGAGCTATCCACCAGTTCTACTGGTGTACAAGGCGCAACGACTGCGCTTCGAAAGCGGCAACTGGGCCCTCCATGCACGCCATGAAGAGTGGGATGTGACTCTCAAAGAAATAGGCAACAAGTACCTCATCCGTCCTTTCCAACTCCTCGCAACCCCAATCTGCTTCCTTGTCGCCCTCTACGCATCATTCGTCTACGGTATCCTCTATCTCAGTCTAGCAGCCTTCCCAATTGTCTTCCAGGAAATCCGCGGCTGGAACCAAGTGGTTGGCGCCCTCCCCTTCCTCGCCTACCTAGTCGGCATCCTAATCGGCGGAGGTATCAACCTCGCCAACCAGAAATTCTACCTAAAGCGCTTCAAAGCAAATAACAACCGTGCCATCCCCGAAGCTCGACTCCCGCCCATGATGATCGGCTCTGTAATTTTCGCTGCTGGCTTGTTCGTCTTCGGTTGGACAAGTCCGAAGAATTTCCACTGGATCTGCCCGAATATCGGTGCAGTCATGATGGGCTTTGGCTTTTTCACCATCTTCCAGGCAGCTCTCAACTACCTCATTGATACCTTCCAGAAATACGCTGCCAGCGCCATCGCTGCAAACACTTTCCTGCGCTCCATGTTCGCGGGCTGTTTCCCGCTCTTCACAAGCGCCATGTTCCATAATCTTGGTGTTCCGTGGGCTGCTAGCGTGCTGGGCTTCATTTCCGTTGCCCTCATCCCCATTCCATATCTGTTCTACAAGTTCGGCAAGAGGATCCGAGCACGTGGGACGTGGTCTCGAGATTCTGTTTAAAATTACGCGGAATGATTGATTTACATGGTTTTATTGTATATGTTGTGCTGTTTAATATTAGCTGGGTTCTGCGCACATTTACTCGCATTTAATCGCAACGTGGTTGCTCATTGTGGGATGTCCATCCCTTGCATTTGATACCCTCCGAGTTTCAGCCATCTCAGATTCACTCCTGTTGTTTTATACAAGTTTATTATATCACTACGTGGTCTACAAGTTCTACTTTCCTACTTTTCTACGGGGTGGAATATTCAATAGACAAGTTTCCGCATATTAGAGTATAACAAAGAAGTCGCCAGCAGAAAAATAACAAAGTAGATAGTAGACAGGAAGAAAGAGGTAATGAGAGAATACAGTGGGTAAAGACGATTGAATGCCATATGTACCCAATCCAGAGGGCAAAATGCCAAAGCCATAGAATATGATGAAGACACCAAGAATACAAAACGTGGAACATGAACATGGAGACGTAAGAAACGACAACGAGATTTTCTTTTTGGGGTATTTTCTTTTTGCTTTCTGTGTTTTTTTCTTGGCGGATTCGAGCTCGATAGTCATAATATCAAGCTCGAGTGGTGACTGGGCTCCGCCCGGTCAACTTTCGCGCAATGGTCATGGCCGCCTTCGACCATGTCTTCTTCTTTTCGATGCGAGCGACCGGATCAGGCGATCCAGCACCAGTAGCAAGAATGTCGGTTTGCGTGTCATCGTGATGCTTGGCGTTATGCAAAGCCAGCACGGCCATTTGACCAAGGAAAGAAGGATGTTCAATAAGATCCTCGAGACGGACCTTGAGACCTTCTTGCTCAAGGAGCCAGGTGAGCTGGGCCAGATTGAAGACGTCACCACCGAGATCGAAGAAGGAGGAGTCCAACTGGAAGGCGGATTGCTGGGTGGGCTTGTCGGCTTCTGGCTCAACGGGGGCCGTGGTGGTGCGGCTGGGTAGGACCTGGTGCCACGAGCGAGATAGAATGTCTGAATGCACAAGCAACTCTGCGATGGAGCGAGACTTTAGGTGTGCGCTGAGGAAGTGCTCGTCTGTTGGTCGAGGCACGTCGTCGATTGTCTGGGGTGGTAGGGAGCGCAGCATGCTCGCCGAAGGCAGGGACGCTGTTGGGTTGGCCACCAGCGACTGCGCAATTTCACAGGCCATATCGAGAACCTTGGAGGCGAAGAATGGCATCACAGGGCCCTTCTCGGAGTAGCCAATGGTGACATCGAGGCCACGTTCACCTGAGGGACGGGAGACCATGGTGAGATCGGCTAGGTTGTCATTGACGCCAACACCACCCATGCGGTATTTGTTGGTGTCAAGCTCCATGGTTCCCTCGTAGTCGACGTTCTGGTGGAAGACTGAGGTAGTGAAGTAGGTCCAGTCAGGCCAGTCGGTACATTGCTTGATGATCTCCCGGAAGCCCAGGGACTCGAAAGGCATGTTGGAGACCTGCTGATCTTGGAGGTAGCGGAAGAGATCGACACCGGTCCATTTCTCGTCCAGCTTCACGCGCACCGGAATGACATTGACGCATGGGCCAACTGTGTTATCAATACCGGGAACTGTGGCGTTGCGACCGCTGATGGTCAGACCAAACACCACATCGGACTGAGCGGTTAGCTTGGCAAGGGCCAGAGCCCAGGCAGCTTGCATGACAGTTGCGATGGTGACATTGCCAAGGGCAGTGGGGGAGATCTCAATCTTCTTGTGAATCTCGGTGAATGCTCCAACATTCTGGAACATGCTGGTACCCTTTCTGTGGACAACTTGGGTCATGCGAGACCCCTTGAGAAGATCGGTCCAGTGGCTGTAATGGTCTGGGGTGATTGTTCCTGGCAATTGTCGTAAGTAGCCAGCGAAGGGAGTAACCGGGGGCAGCGGGGTGCCTTCATATCCGTGCTTAATGGCAGCCATGATCTTCGGCAAGCACACTCCATCGTATTGAGTGTGAGAAAGACGGACCAAGATACGGTGCTGGTCGCTGCCCTTCTTCTTGACAACGTAGAACTGCACGTACTGCTCGCCTTCTCGTGGCCCATATTCGCGATCTCTCTGTTGGAGGGTCATGGTGAATTCATCAAGAGCGCGGTCAGTCTCATAAACAAAGATGCTGGGGCGGATCTTGCGCAGCACAACCTGGAAGAACTGGTCATGGAAGCACACAAAGACTGTACGTAGAATATCAAAGGCATCGACCACCTTCAAGCAACTCTCACGAAGGCGTCTCAGGTCTAAGGGACCATTGCCTTCAAGGTAGAAGTAGTTAAGCATCCATCGCGACTTGAAGAGAGTTGCCGTCAGAGACATCGCCTGGAAGTCTGTGACCGGGAGGACATCGGCGATACCACCCTTGAAGACACCAATCTTAGGACAGATACCGCTCTGTACTGCGGCGTCATCGATGCACGATGGCCTGAGAACCTCAAGGCTCTCAGTTGAGGGGCTGGGCCCCAATGTCGTGGGCGTAATATTGAGCAAGTCACTATCAACCTCCCTGTGACCGCCAGATTTTAGATCCGCATTCAGCATCTGCTGAGTGACGTTCGCGGCTCGTACTGTTGTCAGCATGTCCTCGAAGACAGGATTGTTGAAGACATCTGCAACGGTAAGGACCAGGCCCTCTTCGCGAGCGGCACTGACCATCTTCATGGCGGTGATACTGTCACCACCCAACTTAAAGAAGCTGTCCTGGTGTCTCACCACGTTGGGTGAGAGACCAAGCGCTGTGCTCCAAAGATTCCACAATTTCCTTTCCACATCGGCCGACATCCCATCCTCACTGGATCGGGAAGTGGCCGAACAAACACCTGAATCATCTGCTCCTTGGATACCTAACTGGTACGGTGAGTCGGGTATGGTATCAGTGTGAGAACCATAGTTTGACAACCCTTCCGTACGGATGGGAGGCACCGTCAGTTTTCCTTCTCTCAACATCTGACCAATAATCTCATGAACACGATCATCAATAATTTTCTGAATAGAACTGCTGTCAATCGCGTCTCCGGTAGACTTTGCCTTGTCAGCCAATGTGGTTTGGGAGCGATCCCAATCCAGTGACTCGGGCTCAGCCTCGGAAGCGAATTTGGAGTGCGACAATGTCGCAGTCGGGGCTTCTATGAAGCCAGTGAACACTTTGGCGATGGTGTCAGCCAGAGCCTGGGCTTCTTCGTCAGACACAACATCGTTCCAGTATCTCAAAAGAATACCCTCCTGGCCTCGGGCGATCTCAACATTCACAGTGACCGCATACTAAATTTGATTAGTATCTGTACAAATCATTGGAAGGGCTAGTACTCACCTCGCTCGGATCATGGGCGTGCTGAAGATCGAACGACAATCCCTTGTCCTTGGCACCACCCGCAACGGAGTGGTTCTGGATTGACAATGTAGTATTGAAAAGGGACTGTCCTTGCCAGCCAAGCTCGTGTTGGATACTGGCTAGAGAGCAGCTTTGGTGGGGAATGCATTGCACATGAGCATCTTGAACATTATTCGACACATCTGCCAAGGTCTGCTGATCGGAGAACTGGACTCGACAGCAAAGCATGTTAATAAAGATTCCAACCATGTCCTGAATACCGTTGACAGGGGCATCGCGACCGGCAGAAAGATATCCGAAACAAACGTCATCGGAATCTGTGAACTGTCGCAGGACGATGGCCCAGGCGGACAGGGTCAAGTTGGCGAGAGTCACAGAGCTGCGCTCGCAGAACTTAAGCAGCTCAGGGAATCGCTGGAAGTTCATCATAACACCTTTCAGTTCCCTCTTGGCTTCGAACCCAGCCGACGGAGCGAGGTGGCATGGGTGAACTCCGCCGAGGTATTGCTTCCAGTGATTGAGAGCGTCACTCTGGCTCTGGGTTCTGATAAACTTGATGTAGTCGCTGAAGCGAGGTCCTGAACCTTCGGTAAGCTTTCGCTCGTAGGCGAGAGTCAGGTCACGGAGGAGTACATCAACCGAGCCACCATCGATAATGGCATGGTTAATCTCCAGCTTAAGGACCACACGTCCGGTATTTGTTTTGCAGACAGTTAATTGGTGAGAAAGCTTTGATTGGCGCATCGCGTTCCTGTCACGAAGAGAGATGGCAGCCAACTTCTCCTCAACCTGTGAGTCTTGACATTCGACGCGCAGGATATTGTCAGAAAGGTTCTTGAGCACCAGTTGATCGAAGGATCCACCAGTGTAATTGCTGTCGACGAAAATGGTTCGCAGCACGGGGTGACGGTCGACGAGGGCTTGCCAGGAGCGGGCGACTCCTTCGGCATTAACCTTGCCAGATTTGGCATCCTTGATCTCAAACACGGTATGGAACATATAGGCATTGGGATCACGGAGCTGGCTGAGCAAGAGGCCCTCCTGCATGGGAGAGCAGGGGTAGATGTCCTCGACGTCATCCTTGTTCCGAATACCGGCCTTACGGAAGGTGCTCGCGGTGAGAATCTGGAGGCCGTGATAGTTGATTGGGAGCAGGGGATAGTCGCTGAGAGTGGGCTCGGGAGTAGCCGTTTTCAGTGTGAGGATATCCTTCTCGAGAGTCTGCTTGCACTGGAGAATCCAGCGGCGGATTGAGCCCTCATGCTGCATTTTGCTGTTGTAGGTGAAGGCAACATTGAGGCGGTCTTTGATTACAATAGCAGATACTTCGAAGAGGGCGAAACGAGCTGTCTGGGGGCCCATGTCACCTGCGACAGCAAAGTCCGAGCTGTCAAAGACGCTACCATGGTGATGGAACAGCGAATCGGCTCGCTCAAGCTGCTGCATTTTACCCAGGTAGTTGAAGAGGATTTCCAACGGGACAGGGAAATCAGCCGCCTGGTCCTGAAGCAGGCTTTTGGCGAAGTAAGGACGTCCGTTATCCACAATTTTGCGTCTAGTGTCCTTGACACGCTTGATAATGTCGTTTAGGGCACCTTCTTGTGTTAGCTTTCTGTTGGCAATAAGAGGCAGGGGGAACTTACGAGCTTCCGGATCAACTAGCAAAGGTGCCATGGTGGTAAACCAGCCAACTGTTCTGGAAAGATCAATATCGGCTTCCCATGGTTCTCTGCCGTGTCCTTCGTTGTAAATAGTCGGCACCTTGCGATCGGTGAAGGTCCGACCGAAGGAATGGACGATAGCAGACAGCAGGATGTCAACAGTGTCAGTCCGGAAGACAGTGTGGCAGTCATCCATGATAAATTGGGTAGTATCCTCGCTCAACGTGAAGGATTCCATCTTGATATCTCCATACACATTTGGTGAGTCTTGCATGCCCCAGTAAAGCAAGTTCGGCTTTTCGGGGGTGAAGGGCAGGGCAATAGCCGCATCGTGCGTCTTTGATCTCTCGGTCTGCATGGCACACCAGCTTTGGAAGGACAATGCCTTTTCGAGTGAAAGAGATCCGGAAACCACGAGCTCTTCGAGGTCCTGGAGCACGATGCGCCATGATACCATGTCAATGCACAGATGATGAGCGACGAGGAATAAGACCTGACCGCCGGTGCGAAGGTTAAACAGATCGGCTGCTAGGATAGGTCCATTGAGAGGATCCAGGCAAGTTTGACTGTCAGCAATCTTCGGAACCATCGCTCGAGTGTCGCCCACAGAGTGAACGCGGAATCGGAAAGATCCATCGACCTCCTGTGAGGATGAGTTAGAACATGTTTGAAGAAGGTTTTTCGGTGAGCTTACCCCTGCGGTTTTCTGTTGCCAGGCGCCGTCATTAGATTTGCTGAAGCGTGCGCGGAACATCGCATGCTGGCTAATAACAGCCTTGAGAGCGCGCTTGATGACCTCGCCCTCACAACGACGAGCGACTCGAACAGTGATGCTCTGGTTGAACCGAGCAGCGCCCTTGAAATAGTCCGAGCTCTGGAAGTAGAGTCTCTGGACAGGCGAAAGCGCAAAGCCTTCGCCAGACTTCTCTTCACGTCTAGCGACAGGTGCCTTGGCACTGGCGGTTTGCGCAAGTTCCTTCACTGATCTGCTCTGAAGGATGTCGTGCAGTGTCAGAACCAGTCCCTGTTTACGAGCGCGAGAAATGACAGCCATCCCAGTAATGCTGTCGCCACCTGTGAGAATCAGTTAGTAGGGTCGCTAGTTCGAGATCATTAAATTGGTACTTACCCAAGCTGACGAAAGAGCGGTCGACATTGACCTTTTGCAGGGAGACATTCAACACCTGCGCAAAGATATCGCGGACGATGTCGAGCGATCCATTCTTCTCTTGTTTTTCTTGAGGCTTCTCTTCCGTCTTGCCACGCTTGATGCGATCGTAATCCGCCATGATACGGTCATAGGACACATCATCAATATCCTCAACCCAAGAAGTGATCTTCTTCCGATCAAGCTTTCCAGAAACGAGCATAGGGAGCTTCTTGATAAGAGCCCAAGTCTGCGGGACCATGTAAATGGGCAGCTGGTTCTCAAGATTCTTCTGCACGTCGACGAGCTCGTTATAAGCATGACGCTCGAGTTCATCCTCATCCACAAGCTCGCAGGGCTTGTCAGAAATCAGCTTGGTGTCAGCTGCAACACTGTTCAGAGACATGACAGTGACGAGGCGCTGCTTAAGTGGGCCATTCTTGGGGAGCACTACGACCGCGTGCCGGGTAAGAATATCCTCAGAAAGGCGGTGCTCGATCTCACCAAGCTCCATCCGCTGGCCATGCAATTTGACCTGATGATCCTTCCGGCTGATGTACTGAACAGAACCATCAGGGTTGTAGTAGCAGAGATCGCCAGTCTTGTAGATTCGGCGGGGACCAGGGACCGCGGGGGTGAAGTCCTTGATCCAGGCAGGGTCCGTGGTGAATGCTTCTGCGTTTTTCTCGGGGTTTTTGAGGTACTCCCTGGCCAAAGGAGCACCTTCGAGTGCAAGCTCACCGACGGCACCCAGTGGGGTCAGCCGATCGTGGTTGTCGGGGTCAACAATCCAGGTGAGAGTGCTGGGAATACCGTAACCGATACGGCCGGGATCACGATTGGAGGCGACAGCATTATCGACCACAGCGAAGACACAAGTCTCTGTCGGCCCGTACCCGTTCATGAGGTGGACAGAATTGGCCCACTTGGTGATAACTTCATTGGACATCTTCTCACCACCACAAACGAGGTGCTTCAAGCAAGGCACCGCGGATGGCTCGATGATGCTGGCAATTGAAGGGGTGAGGAAAGTCCAAGTGACATTGAGTCGACGGATTGCGCCGGCAACATCATTCAGACGGTCGTCTTCGCTGGGAACACAGATGGTACCTCCGACCATGAGAATTGCAAGCGTCTCCATAACAGCAGCATCGAAAGTGAGGGAGGCGAATTGGAACACTCTCGAGGTCTCATCCATGCGAACCCATGGCGCGAATGCCATGATACTGCTGACCACATTGCGGTGCTCGACAATAATTCCCTTGGCTCGACCGGTGCTGCCAGAGGTGAACAATGCGTAAGCCATATTGGAGGGCTTGACTTGAGTGTGGCGACGGCCAGATGATTTGAGAGCTCCATAGGCCTTGATTGTCTCTTTGCTGATTGGGACAACAGTCTTCACAACTCGGCTGTAACGACTTGTGTAGTTGGGGGTGCATAATATCATATTGGCACCGACATCGGCGAGAATTTCCTCGTGTCGCGAGGTAGGGTGGGAGGGATCCAAAGGCACATACCCGCCGCCAGCGATGAGAACACTGATGAGGGTGACCATTGCCCAAGCCGACTTGTCTAAACAGACTGGAACGAAGACCTCTGGTCCAACTCCGCGAGAGACCAGGTAGTTGGCGAAGCCAGAGGCGAGATCCCAGAATTCTCTGTAGGTGAGGTCGCCATCCCAGGCACAAACAGCCTGGGCATTTGGAGTCTCGTCGGCCTTCTCACGAATGAAGTCTTGCACAGTCCGTTCCACAGTGAGCGGAATGCGTTCGTTCCATGTACCGATTTCAGCTTTATCTTCAGGGCTAATCACCTCCAGGTCTCCGAGCTTGCTCGTGCTGTTCTTGGGCAGGGCGATCAGTTGCTGCAGAACATGGGCAAATTGTTCAGTGATCCGCTTAGTCTGCCATCCGTTGATGACAAGTTCATCGTGGTGCACAGTGAATGAGATGCTCGTCTTGGTGACACCACATTCGACGACAAGAGGGTGGGTGAAAAAGTCTTCGCTTGTTTCACGTTTCTCATCGATCCAGATCTTGTTGTCAAGCTCACCATCGCCTGGCTGGATCACGAGCAGGTTCTTGAAGTCGCAACCTGTCGCAGTATCCTTGTTCAGCTGCCGGATACGTTGAAGACCACAGTGCAAGTGTGGGATCATCTCCGTGGTAGACTGGTGAATCTTCTGCAAATACTCCATGGTCGGCGCGGCGTTGTCAACCTGGACACGGGTGGGGACGGTGGTCAAAACAGGGCCAGCAATATCTGCAACACCGGGAAGATCGATGTTTCTGCCCGACAAAGTCTCGCCAAAGCATACATCACCAGATGCGGTGTGCGTCGCAATGACGATTGCCCATGCAGCGCGCATGAGGACAGGGATCGTAAAGTCGACGCTGTTGCTGGAGCGAGAAACCTTCATGGTGTGGTGCTGCGTGTTGCCAGCACGCATAGCATCAGGGACCGCATTCTTGTTCTCAGGGAAGGGAGTGCTGGACAGGTCGGTCAAATAAGACTTCCAGAAAGCGTCAGACTCCTGCATATCCTTCTTGACTAAGTAGTCGATGAACAGACTGTAAGGCGTGCCAGCACGCTTTGTCTGCGAGGCAAAGTAGTTCTCTTCGACCTTGCGGAACACCAAAGGAATACTCCAGCCATCATAAAGAGCGTGATGAACGGACCACACGAAATAGCTATCAGAGGAGCCACGCGGCTGCACCATAGCATACCCAGTGAGAGGTGCTCCATTTTGCTTTGGGAGGTGAAGGAAGTCGTAAGGCAAGGCATCGAACGACTCTGCCTCGACCCATGCGATGGGACCATCCTTCAGGACAACTTGAGCAAAATTCATAGCCTCGGTGTGGACAATGCGAGTGCGAAGGATTTCCAAGTCCGCCACGGTTTGTTGCCAAGCCTCTTTGAATTTACTGACATCTATGCCAGCAGCAAGGCGGAAGGAGGGCTGAGCAACATAAGCACCATTGTGTTTAATGGAGAGCGTCAGAAGACCCTCCTGCACAGCACTGCAGGGGTAGATATCGCTGACAAGGTCCTCGGATACTTCGCAGTTGTCGGTGACTTCGTCCATCACGTTTTCGAGGGAAACCCCAGAGGGCAGCAGAGAGAAGGGCTTGATGTTTTCTTTCTTAACCCCAGAAGCTGCATCAGACACGACGCAACTCTTGGCCATGTCAATCAAGATTGGGGAGTTGAAGATGCTCGATACGGTAAGTTCGATACCCTCTGCTTGAGCAGCGCCGACAAGATTCATGGCGGACAAGGAATCACCACCCAGACCAAAGAAGCTGTCATCGGCGGTCACAGAGCCAGCTTCAAGCTCGAGTGTCCGTTCCACGAGGGCCACGAGCTGAGTCTCTAAGCCGGTGGCGAGGGAAGCCCCCTTTTTGTCGGAGGTGTTAAAAGTGATGTAAGACTTGAGAGTCTCCTTGGACAAGGACTGTACCATGGCCCGCAGTCTTCGGCGGTCGATCTTTCCGGAGGAAGTGAAGGGCAAGTTGCGGATAGGGAAGAATAGTCGGGGCATCATGCTCTGAGGAAGAAGGTCGGGCAGAGAACCCTTCAACTTCTGAATAGCATCCATGTTAGACAAGGAGATGGGCAGTAGAAGGGCATCGGCCCCAGGAATGGTGGGGGGCGAATTGATCGCTGCTCCCCCCGTTGGAATCCGGGTCATGGACGGTGAAGAATGCGGCGAGGCCCTTGGCAATGGTCCGTTCCTCCGGGACAACAACATCAACAGCGACCTGAGAGTCTGGGGGTAGGCAGCGCAGACACTGTTGTTCAATTTCCTCAAGTTCAATTCGCTGGCCGTTGAACTTGATCTGAGTGTCTTTGCGGGCGATGAAGGCCAGACTACCGTCGCTGTTATAGCGAACCAGATCACCAGTGCGGTACATACGATCGTTTCGCTTGAACACGCCCTGCAAGCCAGCATGACGGTTCCAAGTAGGGTTCTCAAAGAAAGAGGCCTTGGTCTTTTCCTCGTTGGCAAGGTATCCGCGCGCGACGTTACTTCCTTCAATAATCAGTTCGCCCACTGCGCCAACGGGCAGAAGGCGGTTGGAATCACTCGGATCTACAATCCAAACTCTGCAGTTTGAAGATGTTCCGATGGATGTGGGATCATCATTGACACGGTTGCCATCCCAATCAACCTTTACACCAACTGTAGCGATGACAGTGGCCTCCGAGGGGCCATAGGCATTGATGACGCACCGGTCTGCCCAGCGGTCAATGTGGTTGGCCGGCATCTTCTCGCCTCCTGTGATAATAACCTTGAGAGTGGGAACGGTCTTCGGCTCTAGGGTGTTGACAATCGCAGGAGGTGCCGAGATGTAGGTGGCTTCCATGCGGCGAATGGCGCCACCCAGGTTGTTCATACGTTCCTCCTCGCTAGGGATACAGACACACCCACCAGTCATAAGGATCATCATGATCTCCATGATGCTCACATCGAAGGTGTAGTTAGAAAATTGCAGAGCACGGGTTGTGGAGTTCATGCGGAGGGAATCGATCATGGCGATCGCGGTAGTGCTAAGGGCAGTATGCTCGACAACAGTTGCTTTCGGCTTTCCGGTAGTACCAGAGGTAAAGATAGCATATGCAGCATTGTCCGGGGTAGGACGCACTCCGGGTAACGCCAAGGGCGAGTCAGAGAGTTGGGAGATTGAAGTCTGGCAGACAGGGAACGATTTCGCGCAGAGCTTCGAAACTTTGCTGTGGAGTGAAGAGGAGCACAAGACAAGGTTAGCACCAATTTCATCAATGAGCATCTTCAATCGAGATTCGGGGTGAGAGGGGTCAATCGAGACGAAAGCTCCACCGGCCTTGAGAACAGCCAGCTGAGCAACGACAGCCCAGGCTGACTTCTCGAAGCACAGCACGACGAAGGCCTCAGGCTTGATTGCAAGACTGGACAGATGGCGAGCCAACCGACTGGAAACAATCTCAAGCTGCCCGTAGGTGAAATTCTTGTCCCAGGAGCAGACGGCTTCTGCGCGTGGGTGCAGCAGAGCCTGCTGTTGAATGAGCTCGTCGGCGCACTTTTCTACTCTAGGAGGGGAGGCCGCATTCCAATCGCGGATTTGGCGAACTGAGCGCTCGGGGAATACATTGAGGTCCCCGATAGTACGGTGACGGAGGTTGTGGGCAATCAGATCATCCAAAACTTGGTCAAACATATCCATGACATGATTGATCTGGAAGGAGGAAAGGGTTTGTGTGGAGTAGTTGAAGTGGACCTGGGCGTGTGAATGCGAGACCTCAGCTTCAACCAAGATCTTGTAAGCAGTTGAGCTGCTTGGTTCACGCGTGGTGCCTTTGGGGAGATTGGCAGCCATGCGATACATCAGCGAGGTGTTGAAAAGCATTGTATCATCGAGTCCAAGCTGGTGTTTAATAATGTCCAAAGCAGCGGCGTTCAATGCGCTGTTCTCGGAGTCCTTCTTTGCTTTTTCGAGAGTCTCTTGCAGCTTATGCTCGTTCTGAACGAGGAATCGGCAGGTGGCAACGCCTTCAGCCTCCAATTTCGTCTCCGAGGCTGAGGTAGAATACCCAAAACACACATCGTCTGAGCCCGTGTACCACCGGAGGACAACAGCCCAGGCAAACTGGAAGAGAGTTTCCACGGGGAGGCCAGACAATCTGCTGAAGGCGTGGATGTTGGCGGTCTGCTTGTTGAGGGTGCGGGTGGAGCGGTTGTTGTCGCTTGCCCCATGAGAGAGTGCCGGGAAAATACAGGGCTCAACATCGGCGAGGTACTCCTTCCAGAAAGCCACATTGGCTTCAGAGAGACTGGCATGCCGAGAAACGCGGTTCCTGACCTTAGATCCGTTCCAACGCTTGATCTCGAAAGCCTCGATAGCACTGCTTGAAAGCGCTTGTGTTTCGGTTTTGAGGGCCTGGCGGTTTAGCTTTCCACATAGGGTCAACGGGAGCGAAGAAATGGGGATGTAGAAACTCGGAACCTTGCTACCAGGAAGACTGGTACTCAGATTGGCGTGCAGGCTAGAAACAACTTCTTTCAAAGGAAGAGTGGCGGACTGGAGAACGCGATCTCCAGAAGTGACCGGGTTGGTGTCTGAAGAAACCACGAAAGCAACCAGAGCATTGGTCTTCACATTGGCGGGTAGCAGCTGGATACTCTCCACAACGCACTTCCTCTTGTTGTCCAGGAAGGAATCGATGCGCGCCTGAGTCTGAATAAGCTCACTAGCCAGGGCAGATTCCTTCTTATCGTGCTTGCGACCGACAAAAACGAGAGAGCCATCGGATTTGTACCGAACAAGGTCTCCAGTCTTGAAAAGGCGGTGCTTAGCCCCGTCTCGTTGCCCAGAAAGCCAAGAAGCATTGTGGAAGAAGTCTTCGCTGTCAACGGACTGTTCGTCAAGGTAGCCGCGGGCAAGAACAGGCCCTTCGAGCACCAGTTCTCCAACACTGCCGATCGGAACAAGACAATCATGGTTGGAGGGGTCAACAACCCACGAGACACAAGAAGTGCTCTTTCCAACAAGGGCAGCCTCGTTTTCATCCTGGGAGCAGAACACGTGGAACGATGCAGCCGAGCTCTCACATGTTCCATACAAAACCTGCAGTTGGAGATCGTCCGTCTGCCAGTGGTCGAGGACGCTCTGAGAAACAACTTCGCCGCCCAAGGCAATCGATCGCAGTCCTGGGACATCCTTGGGAGAGAAGAAGCTTGCGGCGGTCGGGGTTATGCTAGCAACATTAACATGGAATGCATTGATGGAGACAGCCAAGTTGCCGGGGTCGATATCAGCCGGAATGCAAATGCAACCACCCCACATGAAGGTAGCAAATGCCTCCACGATAAATGCATCGGATGTGTGAGTTGCAAACTGCAGGGTCCTGGAGACATCGGCAATTGCCATCGTTGTAGCGAATGCCTCGGCGCGAGTCATGACAGTTGAGTGGTCAAGGACGACACTCTTAGCCGGGCCTGAGGTTCCCGCAGTCATAGCAACATACGCGATGTCGGATGGCTGTGCCATGGGGTTAAGAACCTCGTCGGCGAGGTACTCAAGAAGAGACTCGCTTACAGGGATGACGTACGGCACGGCATCCTCGAGGACCTGAGCCTTTTCTGGGGCAGCCAGAGCGACTTGCACGGCGTTGTCAACAATCCACTTCTCAACAAGAGCGAGGCTCTCGGGTGTGTCAACTGGAATACAGCCACCACCGGCTTTCATAATTGCCAAGGTGGAGACGATGTTCCACACGGACTTTTCGAAGCAGACGGGGACCAGGGTTCCAGGACCGACACCGAAGGTGACAAGGTAGCTTGCCAATCGAGAGGAGAATTGATCCAACTTCGAGTAAGTCAAGTTCCCATCCCAAGCTGTGACGGCCAACGCATCAGGGCGCTTCTTAGCCATATCTTGGACAACATGATGAGCGCACTTCTCAAAGGGTTTGGGCGTCTTGCTGTTCCACGCCATGATCTGTGTTCGGTTTTCGTCGCTCAAGTTGTCTAGCTGGCGGATTACGCCATCAACGTTCGAAACAATGTTCTCGAGGCAACGAAGATATGTATTGGCCACGTTTGCAGCCTGTGAATCAGAAAGGTTGGTAGTCCAGTAGTTGAGGTCAATGCGAGCGGTTGTATCCATTGCTTCGATGTTGATGAAAACCGGGAACTCAGCGGGATCGTGGATTGAACCAACCTCAACACACTCGATGTCACTGCTGACAGCATCCTTAGAACTAGGCAGTCTGCGATAGGAGACACCGGAATTGAACAAATTGGTGTCTGACAGCTTCAAGGCATGCTGAATGTCAATCAGCGAAGTGTGGCGGTATGCAAGGCTCTCCACGTAGTCATTCTGGATTTGATGCAGCACATCACTGAGCTTTGCGTCATCGGCAACCTTCATACGGCAGACTAGAAGGTTGATAACCGGTCCAATGACCCACTGGACGCCCTCAGCAGACACATCACGCAGAGAGGCCATGTAACTGAAGGAGACATCGTCAGATCCACAGAAGGCGCGAAGAGTCAGGCCCCAAGCGGCATTGAAAACATTCGCAAGAGTAATTCCGCGCTTCTCGCAAACAGTCTGCAGTTCATTGAGCGCTCCAAAGTTGACCGGAACGGAGCGAAGTGCCTTGGCCGACTGTTGGCCGTCAGTGAGGGCAGGGAAGTGGCACGGCTTGGCTTGATCCAAGTACGAGCGCCAGTAGTTGATGCTGGCTTCCTTTGGCGCATCTTGGAGATATTGCATATAATCCTTGAACAGAGGCTGAGGGCCTTCCTCGAGTCTGCCAGCGTATGCGAGCTGCAAGTCACGGAGGATGATTGAGATAGAGTTACCGTCCATCGCAGCATGACTCATCTCAATGCGCGAAAACAGTCTGCCACTGGGTGTGTGGCAAATGGTGAAGCGATACGCTGGTGTGGACTCGCTGTAATCCTTGGGGTCTTCCTTGTCAAAGGTGGCAAGCACATCCCTTTCTCCTGAAGACTGCAAGAAGACTGGAGTAGCATCATAGCTCTTCAGCACGACCTGGCAAAAGGGGTCTCGAGGGGTGAGGTTCTCAACGAAGATGGTGCGGAACATCGCATGATGAGAGACAACCTTTTGCCAAGCATTTACCAGGCGATCGAGATTCGGGGGGCTAGATCCAGTGGCCTTAATCTCAAAAGTGTCATGGACAGCGTAGTACGAGCTATCACGCTTGCGACCAAGGAGGATACCCTGCTGCATGCGAGAGCAAGGGTAAATATCCTCAACAAGGTCTGGCGAGTCAATACCAATAGCGGGCAACTTCTCGTTGAGCAACTTCTCCAAGGTAGGGTAGGTTAACGAAAGCATGGGGAATGAGCTGAGAGTCAAACGCGGGCCGAGGGTAGGAAGCTGCTCAGCAAGAGTTACAAGCAGCTCTCTGCATTCGGAAACCCATCTGTGGATACGATTCTGGTGCTCCATGAACTTATTGAAGGAGAAGTTGAATCGAACCTTTCCAGCAACGACCATCGCAGAGATCTCGAACAAACCAAAGCGCGGAGTATCGGTTCCAAAGTCAGCGGCGCCGCCTCCTTGGCCAGCTTCGCCAGCCATCTGATCAACAAGCTGGAAGACACCATCCTTCCTCTGCAAATCGCGATGTTGACCGACGTAGTTGAACGACATCTCGAAGGGGTGTGGGTGCTCGGATTGTTGGTTGCCCTGGGCTGGCAGAACCCGGCCGGTGAAATCGGCGCGACCATTGTCTGAAACACGGCGACGAAGATCCTTCACCTGGATGAGGGTATCAATGGGGTTATCTGACTTGTATGCGGACAAGAAGATTGGGTGCAGAATGGTGAACCAGCCAACGGTGTGCGAGATATCAATAGATGGGTCCCAGACTTCTCGTCCGTGACCTTCATTGTAAATCGTTGGAAGAGAACGATCGGGGAAGGCGCGGCCAAATGAGTGGAGCATTGCTGCGAGGAAGAGGTCAATTGGCTCCGTGCCAAGGGCTTCATGACATTCGAGAAGAATAGCATTGGTGTGGGCGTGGTCGATCTCAAACGAGGCACAATCCACATCGCCATACGTGGTTTGAGTGTCCTTAAGCCCCCAGTAAGCAAAGTCGGGTATTGCCAGAGCCTCAGTTGCGACTTTATCCTCGGCCCGAAGTGTATTACAGTGCTCATTCTGCAGGCGGCACCAGGTCTGGAAAGGCAAGGAGGCGTCGCTGGTTCCTGTCTTCTCGGGGTTTAAGATGATGTCTTCTAAATCTTCCAGAATGATTCTCCACGACACGATGTCAACAACCAAGTGGTGAGCTGTCATGGACAGGACATTAGGCTGACCCTTCACCAAGAAGTAATCGACTGCTAGCAAGGGCCCAGAGAAGCAGTTGATAGAAGATTGGCTGTCTGCGACATGGATCTTGACCTCGTCCATGCTGCCAAGGGTGTGCATCCGCCACCTGTAAGATCCCTTGATATCCCGAGTGATATGTTGACTAGATGCGGTCGCGAACCCTGTGTCCGTGAATCGTGCGCGGAGCATAGAGTGGCGGGATATCAAAGTTTCCACGGCCTTGCGGAGGGTTGGCTCGTCGACAGGTTTGTTCAAACGAGTGAGGATTCCTTGATTGAAGTGACCTTGGCCCTCTTTACGTACACCAAAGTGGAGGGTCTGGATGGGTGACAAGCTAAATGGTTCATCAACAGCTTCTTCATAAGTCGTAAGGTGATCGATTGTCTTTGCGCGAGTTGCGAGGTCGCGAATTGATTTGCTGCGCAGCAGCTCCTGTACAGAGAGGGAAAACCCACGCTTCTTGCAAAGACCGATACATGTCATAGCTGCGATCGAATCACCACCGAGGGCGAGGAAGCCCGCGTTCAAATCCAGCTGGTTCTGGGGAATGTTGAGGACACGGCTATATACAGCTGCCAAAGCTTCCTCTCTGTCGTTGGCGGGCTGGGAGGCCTCTGCGCCGACGGTTGCAACGGAGCCATTGTTCTGAAGATCTGGGTCGTTCTCCATACCTGCGACCCAAGTGGAAATACCCTTGCGGTCTAGTTTCCCTGATGGCAGAAGTGGCAGAGCTTCAACACACAACCAAACCGCAGGGACCATATAAGTGGGGAGACGAGCCGATAGTCGCTCTCGGATTCCTGGGACAAGCTCGGCCTTTTTCGAGGTGGAGACGAGTCGTAGAGGCTCCAGGTCTGAATCGGACTGTTCTGCAAGCAAGCCAGTGGAAGAGACAACTGCCACGAGGCGTCCCTTAGAAAACCCAGTCTTGGGGAAGAAGACGGAGCAATGAGTGACGTTCAAATCCTTGCTGAGCTGATTCTCAATTTCGCCGAGCTCGATTCGTTGTCCGTGGACCTTGACCTGCGTATCCTTGCGACCAATGTAATTCAAGGCACCTGAGTCGGAGTTGTACCTCACCAGATCACCTGTCTTGTAGAATCTACGGTTAGAGCCACTTTCAGTGTCCAATTTAGTCCAAGCAGGGTCGTAGATGAACGATTCGTTTGTCTTTTGTGGATTATTCACGTAGCACCGGGCCAGGGGTGGGCCTTCCAAAAGTAGTTCTCCAGGGCAGCCCACGGGCACCAGTTCATCGTGGTTATCAGGGTTCACAAGCCAAGTTCTCACACCAATAGGCAGGCCGATATCTTTACAATCGGTGTCAGATGTAACATTGGAATTCAGCACGGATGCCACGCTGGCCTCGGTAGGTCCATAACCATTGACCAATTTGATTTTGGACCAAGTAGTCAGCTGTGACTGCGACATTGCCTCCCCGGCCAGAACTAAACTCTTCAGTCCTGGAACACTCTCGATTTCAATAAAGCCGATGAATGATGGGGTGAAGCAGGCTTGGGTGACTCGCATCTCGTTGATCGTAGTCACAATATCGTTGAGTCGAGCTTCCTCGCTCGGAATACATACACAGGCACCATGAATAAGCGGCGTCAAGGACTCTGCCAAACTGGCATCGAAGGTGTGCGCGGCGAATTGAAGGCATCGCGACTCGCGATAAATCCGCAAACCGGGTCCATGCACAATTGCCCCAGACAGGAACGCGCGGTGCTCCAAGAGGGTTCCCTGCAAAACATGAGTCAGCTATTGTAACAACATTAAAAATATTAATATTAATAAAAGACTGACCTTGGGTTCTCCTGTTGATCCAGAGGTAAACAGAACATAAGCGGCATTTTGACTGGTGACACCGGACGCAAGATTGACATTGTCGGCGGGGTCAGACAGAGGATCTAGAGTATCAGCACATAGAGGTATTAAAGTGTTCACGATCGGTCGGAATTTATCAGCCAGATGCTGAGAGCACAACACAACGGGTGCCTGAACCGATTGGATGAGAGATTGCAGTCGGGAAGTTGGATGAGTCGGGTCCAATGGGACGAAGGCTCCCCCGGCTTTCATAACGCCAAGCATTGCGACAATGTTCCATTTCTGTGAAATCAGTATAAACAACTTAAATGGAATATTGGAATTAATTCATGAAACAGTATACCACTTACCGATTTATCGAAACACAAAGCCACGCGGACTTCCGGTCCAACTCCCTGCATACGAAGATAGCATGCAAGCTTCGACGCTTGGTGATCCAGTTCGGAGAACGTCAAACTTCCATCCCACGCACACACAGCCTCACGATCGGGCCCACTCAACATCTGATCGTGGATGGCTTCGTGAATGCATCGATCGTGGAGTTGTGGAGTGGTGGAGTTCCACTTGCGGATGCGTTGCCAGTCATTCTCTGAGAACAAATTAAGCTGGCTAATAGCGGTGTTCTCAGCAGAAAGAACTTTGGCAAGCAACTGCTCGAAAATGCTTGCGAGACTCTTCATCTGTTCACCAGACATGTCACCCTTGCGCCATTCGAGGAAGATGCTGATGTCTCCACGCAGCACCTTGACATGAAGGCGGACCTGGCACTGTGGATGGTTAGCCAACTCGATTCTTCTCTAGAGAACTCCCATATCCCATTCGTGACAAATTGGACTAACCTGGTCTGGAAGAGCTGTGGCCAAAATAGGTTTTGAAGGAGAAGCGGGCGGGTCATATGAGCGCAGCATGAAGATGGTGTTGAAAGGGAGATATCCCTCGGAAGCCTCCTCCGAGCTTCCATCGAGCTGGCGATTCGCACTGTTTGCGCGTACCTTATCTACAATTGCTGTGAGAGAGTCGTTGTCATTGATGGATATACGGATCGTCGAAACGTTGACGCCGGTAGAACGCTGTACAGATGATTTGGGAGAGCGCGAGTCGCCCTCGAGATGTTGGTAACCGAAGCAAATATCTTCGGAACGCATATAGTAATGCAACAAGAGAGCCCAAGTGGCTCCAAGCACTGGGTCCAGACGGCCTTCGTTCCATGCGGTTAGTAACTGCGCATGTTGAGCAGCCGTTGGTCTCGTCTTCATCGACACTGGGCGTTTAGGCCCGTCAATCGTGGAAGCGAACCGGGGAAGATAGCACTTGGTAGATTGAGCCATGACGTCTGATGGCTGGATATTACCAGGCTAGTCTTCTGTGTTTCGTCTTGTTTTTTTTTTTTCCGGTCGATGGGGGTATGTATGTATGAGCCTGAGGTGTAGAGAATGGACGACAGTATAAATTCGACGTTCAAGAGCTCTCGCGAACTTGGACGGTCTCGTCTTATTTTAAACAAACTAAGTGCAGGTAATTTTTATTTTTTTCCCTTAAAAAAGTATTATTTGCTAAACACCTCGAAATAGCTACGTCCGGCCGGAGACTGCATGGCCACACCTCGCCAAAATCCAGTAATAGGCGCTATATTCCTTGCATGGGGTCCAGATGGAAGGGAGAGGGAGAGAGAGAAACCATACGTGGATCAGGTGTACTTGGCTCCCCCTGTGGAACCAGCTCAGACACTTTTTCTGGTTTTTCCGTTTTTCTTTTTATTTCTTTTTTCTGTTTTTTATTTCCGGTACAATTGCTACATCAAATTTCATGTTTTCTATTTTAGACCAACCCTTGGAAATGGACTAGCTTACTCGACCTAGTGCTAAAAGGTCATCATGCAGGGGAATGGCCCATACTCTCTCTCTGTGTGTACTCCCGAATGTTCTCCGGAGTACTACTCTTCCAAGCGAGATGCAATTCCCCCGTTCAGGAACCCTTGCAGCCTGGAACGTGGGCGTAGCGGTCCAGAGCATCCCGTCAGGGCGTGAGGCTTTTCAGCCCCGAATCACGTTTAGATTGAATGGCGTTATCGTTTATACGATGTCCTTCCCCCCCCTCAAGCTTACGAAGTTTCAAAGCTGACGTTTCTGGCTCTGCTGGGCGTGTCGAGTACGCTTAGTGCAAGCTCGCGAACAGGTACATGCCCAGAAAGGATAATACACCATACCCTCACTTCATACCGCAGATATAGGGTTTTGCCTCTCCGGTGCATCAGGCATGGCCACAGGTATACGAGCCTCGTGAGGCTGTCATAGTTTACGGTGTACACCGACTGATGCACACATGGCACTGGCCCCGGACTCTACTTGCTCCCAGCTCACCTCTACTCTGGGAGCTCTAGTAATGGGGGGCCGCATGGCATGGAGATCCGACACCTGGGGTCTGCATCAGTAAGGTGTGGCGAGCTAAGACGGGTCGAATGAGGATTTACCGCGCATTTCAGGCACTACTGCAGCGAGTATGTAGTGGAGGTGGTGATCCCGTCTGGTGATCGCGATGAGAAAAGTTAAATTGGTAGGATCTGACACGATCATGTCTTAGGTTGTCTTTCTGAGGTATAGGATGTTATTCAGGAGTCAAGCGAAAACTCAAAAGACAGGCAGGTTGTGGGGGGCCACTCCCCGAGCTGATGTTATCACGCCCTTTCATACTTCGGATCTCCCGGTCCATAAATCCGAACATTACAGGGGTATATATGAGTAGGATCGGAGGAATGTTCGGTTAAAAATAAAATACTATTAAATCCAAGGCATTTTATCTCAGAAATGAAACTTGAACTAGTTTGTAGAAATATTCACAAAGTACGGAGTTACGGAGTACGAAGTACGATGTAATCTAATAGGTAAGACACACAGTACGCTAATGATCGCTCTGCAAGGGCCAAGGGCTACGGCCGAAATCGAACCCAACGACCTCTCCACTTGTTTATTTATATATTAGTCACATTCACACCTTCAATAACTAGCTTGATACAATAGCAAAGATATTTGGATTTTATAAATTCAACTAAAAAGTGGGACTATAGTATGTTGTATGTTACAGTTCCTAAGATTATATCCAGTCGAATCAGAAACATGGGTTGATGTTGTACAGTATGTGCATTGCTTTTTTTTTCTTATGTGCGTTGCTTTTTGTTTTTCACGATTTCTTTTCTTTTTTCGTTTTTTTTTTTGCCTTTTTTCTTTTTTTTCTGAATTTATCGTTTTCGTATAATCACGACTCGGCAACGTACGTTTGTAAATGTCCACTATACCCACTAGCCAAGAGGTGATGTTAAGTTAAGTAAGTGCATGTACGATGTAACTAGTATAGGGAAGTGCGAGTTTCTAGAGATCCACACAAGAAGAACCGACATTTACTGGGCTTCGGCATCCCTAGAGGTAGACAAGGTAGTTGATACTTATGACGGGCTAACCTGACGGGCTAAACTAGCGCCCGCAGTTCGGGGACGATTATCAACTAGCAACAATGGAGAAACTTGACAGGTCGATCTTGTCGATCGCCGGATAGATCATTTTTATAAATTTCGGCACAGTAATATAGTAAAAAATATTAGAGTAAAATACATCACCATTTTCCAAGTATCTACAAACATATAGAGATACGGGAGCACAAAATATACACAACATACGAAATACCGAAATGTCTCTACGCAGGAGAATTTGGAATCAACTGCGCATGTGAGCACAAATGTACATCGGTGGAGATCATTATGCACGGGATTTGCCACACATTAACCACGCTTCGAATTCTAAGACAAGGGGAAAAAAAAGAAAAGAGAAGAAACCGGCTTACCCCAGTCAGTTCGGCTCCATCGGGGCGGTTCTTCGTCAGGCACTATAGCTGTAGGTACGGAGTACACATCCCGACTCATGCACATTGGGCCAGCGACCGCCACGCGAACAACGCCACGTCTTGGAATATCCAGAATTTCTAGATTGGCGGCCTGTATTGAAATCAGGAAGAAGACCGAGGACAACCGAAAACTCCGAAAGGATTCAGGATTCAGTGTGGACCATAACTAACAGTTTAGTCAAAAGAAACGATTGGTTCGGATGAATTGAAGTAATAATCCCTACCGCCACTACCGAGTAAATAGAAGAAAAAGAAAAAGAAAAGAAAACGCCTTGACAGGTGGAGTTGGAGATTTGGAGATTACATTTTTGGACAATTATAGCAATTATAATCGCAACGAGAACTAGCAGAAACCAGTTGTAATCTATATCTTATTTGTTACATTCTTCTCCGAATGTGGAAGATCCAAGCGATATCCTTCACCGTGTCTGACTTCAGCTTCTGCGGTCAAGCAGAGTTTATGAGAAATATATATAAGTATAGTTAGTATATATATAAGTATAGTTAGTTATATATATATACACATGTTCAGTAAGAAGTAAGAATAAGAATAACACTTAATTACGTTATATTAAATTAAATTAATCCAAAATAATGTTTCAAGCCCAACGCGGCAGATCTCCCATCATACAGATAGAGGCTTTCCTCCCTCACATGAGAGCAAAGTTATTTTTTTGCCCTAAGTCCATACAGGACTTGGACCATATGCACTTAACATTTGCCATTGCAACTCATTGGAGGTCATTTGGACTTATTGGCTTCTAATTATTTTATTTCTGCAAGGTAGCACAACTCCCTCGTGTCGCTCGGGATTACTCAAGGTTTCCTTGACTCCAGGGGGCGAACGGATCTAGTGATGCCAACTTGTATCCCCCCACATCCCCAAGGGGGGAAGGTACATATGCCACAATTGAGAATCAGAACCACTTATTGATGACTGAAGTGGAGTCATCAAATCACAGCGCAATCTCCAAGGTCTTATAGAGAAACAAAACAAAAACAAGAAAAACAAAAAAAAACAAATGAATTTCCTAAAAAAGAAGAAAACAAACCAAGATACATGCATCTGAATGGATCCATACACAGCTAGGCCAAGTCTAGATGAGCTCACAGGGCATTGCCAGTAATAGGAGTGTAAGATGGTTGCATCAAGTGTTGTATTCATGTCCACTTGGATGCAGCCAACCAGTAACAAGGTCATAAGGGTGAGATCAGGGTCGTAGTTCTCCTAGATGTAATGAACTCCTACCTACGGAGTAGAGGGATATACGGTCCTCGATTAGCCCTATGCACCTTTGACTATAATGTCTTAGTAGTGAAGCTGACTATACTTATGTCACTTTTCTGATGCATCTGATCTAGACCAAAAAGCCGCAACACCCCCCGAGCTAATGCATGTTCTTTTTTAACCATACACTCTTTTGAATTCTAATTCCCCGTGCCACTCGTTTGCCGTCTTTCTTTTCTTCAACCATCCTTCCGTCGCCAGGTGGTTCAAGAAACAGACATGACATCCTCTCGCTATTCAGGGCCTTCGTGCCACGATCTAGATAATACCCTCCGTATTGACGCTGGGTCATGTCGGGGAGGATTCGATTTCTCTCTTTTGTTTGAGGAGATCATCCTCGAGATTTTACCTATTGTATTAATCCTAATCCTTATTCCTGTTCGTCTCTGGCAACTCTCACAAAAACGAAACAAAGTTGTGCCATCATGGTTGGTCTTCATCAAGCTGGTAAGTTGGTCGACTTGCGGTAATCTGCTCTCTGCAGTTCGCATCCAACCCCGCGAACCCCGTGGTATTTGGAATTGGTGTAATATCCAATTTGGGGAATACCGTTATCTAATAATCATCTCTGAACAGGGAGCTTGGTTGGCCCTACTAGGTCTTCAAATTGCACAAACAGCCCTATGGGCCCTTCCGGCAGCCGACAGTACCAATGCCTCCGTTCCAGCCAATGTACTCTTGATAATCGGGGTACTGGCTCTGGTTCTGCTTTCATATGCAGAGCACACACGCTCTGTGCGACCCTCCTTCATTTTGAACACCTATCTCTTCTGCAGCTTGCTTTTCGATATTGCACGCTCTAGAACTCTATGGCTACGCAGTGCGGACGCCTTTAATACTACTCTGGCCATTGTCGCTACAGTGGCGGTGGGTGTCAAACTCCTTCTGTTTGTGCTTGAGGCTGTGGAGAAAAGGCATATTCTCAAATCGGAATATGCCGGTTATCCCCCAGAAGCCACTGCGGGTTTCTATAACCGCGCCGTGTTCTGGTGGTTGAACCCACTGTTCAAGATCGGTTTCACCGGAGTCCTGCGTGTAGAAGATCTCTTTTCATTGGATAAAGAGCTGAGCTCTGAGCGCCTACTCGCTCGATTTGATGAGAAATGGAGTAAAGGTAATTACCTGTCTCAGCGATATGCGCTTTTT